TCACAACCTTCCAACGGCAGAGACGGCGGCTCGGCTAGCAAACCCTGATGGAGAAAATTGAGGCCCACGCACAAGTGGAGCCCGTCATTGGGGGAAAATATAAGGTACACATGGTCTCTAATATGGCCACGTATGTTTTATACACCGTTATACGGAGTACTATATATACTTTTGAAAGTAAGTAGGGAGACAATGGTATGTGAGCCATAAGGGGGCACTACTGGAATTTCCAAAGGCGGTTATCACGGTTGTCATATCCGGGAGTCTCCCGAGGTCCACTGGAAATGTGTAATCCAAGATCATCGCATCCACAAGTATGCACCAGCCACAAGCACAGGGCTTGACCTGTGGCTGAAGAAATTTAAAAATTGAAAACTGTGGACACGCTAATCCGCTTAAAGCGGGTACAATAATGACGGAAGGGGCGAATATGCAAGTCAAGGTACCCTGCATGGTACTTTGGTACTTTTTACCAAACAAATTCATGGACTTGCAAGAGTCAAGGGGGTTGGGATTGTGTACACGAAGTCCGGAGAAAAATGATGAGGAAAAAAAAAGGGAGAGGGGACACAAGGTCACTCGACAGCTGCACCCTGCACAGTTCCGGGTTTGGTCTGTCTGTGCTGGTCTTGCAGCCTATTGACGTATACAATAATAATCATAGCTATATTATGTACTCCGTACAGAGTAGCTGGATAGAGATAGGGCGAATAAAAAGTAAAAGGACTGGGTAAAGAAAATTAAGTAAAATGATTATTTCTGATCTCCATTCTCATTTGACGGAGGATTAAGTACGCACAGTGCTGGGCAAAAGGGGGGAACAGGGATCTGAGAAAGCCAATGCGGCTGCACGGCCCTGTGGGCTACATAGCACCACGGAGCACAGTTGCACTAACGCACCTTAGAGGCAACCACGGGGGAGTCCCCACTCGGCGTCTTTTGCCGGGGGTTTGTGTGTTCGTGTCAGGGAGATTGGGCATGATGGTTTTTTTAACAACGGGAAAGAAAAATTAATTGAGATTAATTCTAATATCTATACAAAGTAGGCATACGTTGAATAAATAATTATAAGAACTTCTTATATGCTTAATTCTTTTTTCATGAGATCATGGGTGGGTTTTGAAGATGGAGCCTAAAAAGGGAAAAAGAAAAAGAAAAAAAGAAAAAAAGAAAAAAGAAGCGAAAAATCAAAAAGGAAAAATCAAAAATCAAAAATCCCCCAAGAATTCCCAAAAAGGACAGAAATGGACCAAAAAGAAAAGAAATAATTCCAAAATAAAAATAAAACGAGCATAACCGCCTCCAGATCTTTCTCCACAGCGCTAAGCCGTTCCTGAGCGTCAGCTTGTATTAGATAATCAGTCGTGACGGCCGGGAGCTACCCAACCACTAGCGTCTCTTGGCGAATTTCACCTTTCCTGCCAGCCCCTCGACTCTTCCCTCTCTCTTCCCCCTTAGGCTTTCGGATCATCCTCAATTCTGACTTCCCCTTTCCCCACTGAATCGCCTTGTTTCTTCGCCTCTTTCTTGAATATCTCATTTTTCCCCTTCTACCTTCGCGCACCAAGCTCTACATAGCTGTGACCTCACCCGCTGCCCCCCCGAGATTGTGTCACTGCCCATCTCGCGCCACTCATTTATCTTCGGGATAGCGCCAAGGGCTAGTCGATTTTGGAAAACTGCCGCCCTTCACTGCTGGATAGTGTCGCGTTAGGGACATTTACTTCTTTCGCGACCCGTCCCTCCTTTTTCTCTTGCCTTTTGCCTCTCTCGTGCCCATCGGACATTGCGCCTCGGGATCGGCGTGCGACATCACAAGAGTACACTACACCAGTGTCTAATAGTGGTGTGAACTTGGATTGCATCATCGTGTCGCAAACCTACCCCGAGAGTTCGGTCGCGACACGGTTCAACTCAAACCATACTCACGATTCTCGGGAACCATGTCTCACACTCAACCATCACCCACCGCGGGCGTGGCTCCTCACCATGCGGCAGCGCATCTCGCAGCGCATGCGCAGGCGCAGGCGCAGGCCAATGGTCACATGTCAGCAATTCCTGTGCAAGGTCAAAAGGGAGTCCCTTCTCTCACCACCGCACAGAAGATCGCCACACTCAATGAACAAGTCTGGCTTCAAATAGGTAAGAAATCCTAGGTCATATACCTGAAATTAGCGATTTCTAACAGTGTGTCTCGTTTATAGGAAGCTTGACCGAATTGATGGGCGATCTCGAAGGTGCGATGAATGCCTACGAGCAGGCCCTGCGTCACAACCAGTGGTCTATCTCAGCCATGAATGCTATTTCATGCATTCTCCGGACAAAAGAGCAGTTCCCCAAAGCAATTGAGTACTTACAAAATATTTTGAAGTTGGACCCGAGCAATGGAGAGACTTGGGGCAGCCTGGGCCACTGCCATCTCATGATGGATAATTTGCAAGAGGCATACACCTCTTACCAGCAAGCCCTTTACCACTTGCGCGACCCTAAGGTAAGCGGTTTCCCCTCACATCGTCCCTGAAATACGTAGTCGCTGACTCCAATCCCCCTCATTAGGAACCTAAGCTCTGGTATGGAATCGGTATCTTGTATGACCGCTATGGTTCTTTGGATCATGCGGAGGAGGCTTTCTCGCAAGTGATGCGCATGGCACCCGATTTCGAGAAGGCCAATGAGATTTACTTCCGCCTGGGAATCATATACAAGCAGCAACAGAAGTTTAACCAGAGTTTGGAGGTATGTGAAATCTCTTGCTATGAACTTTGAGAGCTGTGACTAATCCATTCTAGTGCTTCAAATACATTGTTAGCGATCCCCCACGCCCTCTGACCGAAGAAGACATCTGGTTCCAGATTGGCCATGTTCACGAGCAACAGAAAGACGTAAGCCATGCTTCCCTCCGCCTTTTTTGATTTCTTATCTTATGCTGATGAAACCCTCAGTTTGAGTCTGCTCAATCCGCCTACCAGCGTGTCCTTGAGCGGGATCCAAACCACGCCAAAGTTCTCCAGCAACTTGGATGGCTCTACCACCAGCAGAGCAATGCCTTCCACAGCCAAGAGAAGGCCATCCAGTTTTTGGAAAAGTCCGTCAATGCTGGTAAGTACACTTTTACTCCCTCATCTGGGTTGTATACATTAAAACTAATCAATTCGCTCCCTAGATAACAATGACGCTCAAAGTTGGTATCTCCTTGGTCGTTGCTACATGTCCATGGCGAAATACCCCAAGGCGTACGAAGCCTACCAGCAAGCGGTCTATCGCGATGGCCGCAACCCTACCTTCTGGTGCTCGATTGGTGTTCTTTACTACCAGATCAACCAATACCGCGATGCTCTCGACGCCTACTCTCGTGCGATCCGCCTGAATCCTTACATTTCGGAGGTTTGGTATGACCTGGGCACTTTGTACGAATCATGCAACAACCAGATTGCCGATGCCCTGGATGCATACGGACGCGCCGCAGATCTTGATCCGAGCAACGTTCACATCAAGGCTCGTCTACAGCTTCTTCAGAGTCAGTTGTCTGCTGGCACGGCTGGACAACAACCACCCACTGCTCCCGCGCCTCAGCCACAGGATGTTCATCCTCAGGCTTATCAGGCGCCTGGCGTTGGTGCACCTCCAGCTCCTCAGTGGGGTGCCCCAGCCCCCATTGGCCCCCCCTCCACAAGCTCCTGCTCCCCCGAGACAGATTCCTGACTGGAACCGTGGTATCAACGAGCTTCAGTCTCAGAGCCAAGCTCCCCCATCTAATGGTCTCGACCAGCGCGAAGTCCGGATCCCCGGTGCTCCTGCTCAGAGTCCTCGACAGGAGCCTGGTCGGGCGTTCCCTGATCCCCGTGGCGCACCTCGCTCGCCAAAGATGGGTGATCCCAATGCCTACCCGCCGCCTCACACCCTACCTCAGCTTGGAAACGCTCCTGGTCCAGGCCACGAACGCGCTCCTAGTGGTGGCAATGCCTTCGGTGCCCCGCGAGGTGCTTTGCCGGGTAGCCTGCCTGGCGCTCCTCCTGGCCCCCCTGGACCTCCCGGACCCAATGGCAGTGCTCCTCCCCCTCCTTACCAGAATCGTCCTTTCAGTCCTGCTCCTGAAATTCGCCCTATTCGCGATGAGCGTCCCTCTTCGCCGGGCTCAGGATACCCTCTCCAACAGTTCCACCCCGGTCCTACCCTCCCCCCACAAGTTCCAGGTGGTAACTCCATCGCCTCTGGTGCTCCGGCCCCTGCTTCGGCTGCTACTGCTGCTGAGGCTGCCGCCCGCGATCGCGAAGATCGCCCCGCATCTGCAATGAAGCGCGGTCGCGAATGGGAGGCTGAGGCTGGTCCAGTCAAGAAGCACGCAAACGAAGAGAGCCGCGCTCGTCTGGATGACCAGAGCAACCGCCGCCCGAGCCCACCCGCTCGCTTGCCTTCTCCTGGTGAGATGCAACGACGAAGCTCCTCAGAGGCTCGCCGCGAGGACGCCCGTCGTGCCAATGAGAACTACCACCCCTCAGAGGCTGCTCACCACCCTCCTACTCTGCCTTCGATCCAAGACATGCCTCCCCGGCCTTCTGCTGGCCCCAGTCTTCCCCCGATGGCCGAGGGCACTGCACCAGCACCCAACGCTCCCCCCTCTGGACCTCCTTCCGCCAACACCCCGGTCAAGGAAGAACCTCCTCGCCCCGAGGCTCCTCCTGCGCACGAGCCCCCCGCGCGCAAAATGGATGTTGATGAAGACTACGATGACGAAGTTGAGGAAGAAAAGAAGACTGCTGCTGCCTCCAAGGGCAGCCCCAACGGCAGCGCTGCTGGCAACCCAGCCAACGGCGCCGGAAATGCTCGTGCCAGTACTCCATCCAAGGTCGAGCCAACGGCATAAAAAGTCTTTCCTCTCCCGGCCACAAAAGTGTGGTCTGGTTAAACCGGGCAAAGCCCCCAAATCTCTCGCTTCCTTGCTCCTCCCTGTCCTTCCTCTCTTTCAGTGTGTGATGTACGGTATGAATGTGCGAGTTACGATGACTACCAAGTTTCAAGCGCGTGCGCTGAAAATTCGTCATGTCTGTTCGTTCTCTTCTTTTTTATGATTTCTTAGTCTCCTTTCACTGTGAATTTTTTATGGTGCATTAGGCATCCTTGAAGCAAATCATTTGTTTGATACTCTGGAATTTGGTAGAGTAAATTTTATAACATCTCCTTTCTTTTCTCATTAAGGTGTACGCACGTATAACTGTAGCACTCTAAATATGTTCGGTATTGTATTTCGGTCTATGTTTCATTCGAGCCCACAATGTGGATGTCCTAAAACCATATTGCTGGCCGTTTGCCTTGGCAGCAGCAAGACCCATAAAAATCGTCTCAGGGCCCGGAAAATCTGGACGACACGTGACAGGACCAGGGCTGGATTAGCTAATTTGGGTTATTGTGGGGTGCCTCAGGCTCTTGACCGCCAAGAGTCTCGCTTAGGTTAGCCCACACACCAAGCGTGCAAAATCAACTTCGACATTTCCAGATCGTCCTCCCACCACCTCGACGACTAACGATAACAGGGTCAAGATGTGAGTCTATCCCAATTGAAGATTCATATACAATCGCCATTGAATACAATTGCTGACCTGCTTTCGCTATTCAGGAGTCACCGGAAGTTCGAAGCGCCTCGTCACGGTTCGTGATCACCTTTTTCCTCGATATCGAAATTTCGAAATACGGCCTCTGTGTGTGAACAGTATACTGATTATATCTCCAGGCTCCCTTGCCTACCTCCCGCGCAAGCGCGCTGCCCGTCACCGTGGTAAGGTCAAGAGGTCAGTACTTTCTGAATGAGTTCGTGATTTGTGAATTTGTGCGCTGAGACTTTTTTTGCGACAGCTTCCCCAAGGATGATGCCAAGAAGCCCGTCCACCTTACTGCCTCCATGGGCTACAAGGCCGGTATGACCACCATCGTCCGTGACCTTGACCGTCCCGGTGCCAAGATGCACAAGAAGGAGATTGTCGAGGCCGTCACCGTCATCGAGACCCCTCCTGTATGTTTCCCCGTTGTGTGCGAAAGTGAAGGACGAAAAAAAAAAGCGACCGGACCCTAACATGGATTTTTTTTTCTTCTTTCTAGCTCGTTGCCGTCGGTGTCGTCGGTTACATCGAGACTCCCCGTGGTCTCCGCTCTCTCACCACCGTCTGGGCTGAGCACCTGAGCGATGAGGTCAAGCGTCGCTTCTACAAGAACTGGTACAAGTCCAAGAAGAAGGCCTTCACCAAGTACGCCAAGTCCCACGCCGAGAGCTCCGGTGCCTCCATCACCCGCGAGCTTGAGCGCATCCAGAAGTACTGCACTGTCGTCCGTGTGCTCGCCCACACCCAGATCCGCCAGACTCCTATCAAGCAGAAGAAGGCCCACCTTATGGAGATCCAGGTCAACGGTGGCTCCGTCGCCGACAAGGTCGACTTCGCCCGCAACCTCTTCGAGAAGACCATCGATATCGACTCCATCTTCGAGAAGGACGAGATGATTGATGTCATCGCCGTCACCAAGGGTCACGGTTTCTCCGGTGTCACCTCCCGTTGGGGTACCACCAAGCTGCCCCGCAAGACTCACAAGGGTCTGCGCAAGGTCGCCTGTATTGGTGCTTGGCACCCTAACCACGTCCAGTGGACTGTTGCCCGTGCCGGTCAGGACGGATACCACCACCGTACCTCTTGCAACCACAAGATCTTCCGCATTGGAAAGGGTACCGATGAGGGTAACGCCTCCACCGACTTCGACATCTCCAAGAAGCAGATCACCCCGTATGTTCCTCCCTGATATTTTTCTTGTGTTATGTTTCTTAATTCTAACATTTGTTTAGCATGGGTGGTTTCGTCCACTACGGTGAGGTCAAGAACGACTTCGTCATGGTCAAGGGCTCCGTCCCCGGTGTCAAGAAGCGTGTTATGACTCTGCGCAAGACTCTGTACCCCCAGACTTCCCGCAGGGCCACCGAGAAGGTCGAGCTCAAGTGGATCGATACCTCCTCCAAGTTCGGTCACGGTGCTTTCCAGACCTTCGAGGAGAAGAAGGCCTTCATGGGTACCCTCAAGAAGGACCTTGTGGAGACTGTTTAAGATGTTTAAGCCTATGGTTGGTGGTAGTGCAACGTTTCATATTCAATAAAAAAGCGAATATCCTTCACGATTTGCATGTAGCTGTATAATTGTCTGTAAATTTATATAAATATATCTAAAATGTATGTGGGAGAATTTTCTACAACAACACATCAATTTGGTAAATCGTTTCTTGGATCACCCATCACTTCAAAATATATATATCTGGTTCGGGTGTCTTGTCTTGTATATATATATTTGTACGTCTTTACGCACCCGAAATGTTGAGCTGCCTCTTTTTCTCTTCCTAATTCTTTCTAGTTCTTCCATATATCCAGTTACATCATCTAAACTCCTTTAAACTCTCTGTTTGTTTAAATATACGATATTCCAACCTCACAGGCCGGTGGTGAACAAAATGCGACAGTCCAAGGTCCATTGCGTCATCCCACACTTTTCCCTGCCAGCTTCAGCAAGAAATCGGGCTTTGCCAATCTCATCTTACACTTTACGATCAACCTTTCGAATCGAACACTCTCTACCTCAATACCGTCTCCTACACTGTTTATACCATCAAACGAGCCCAAGAACCCACATCCTAAACACAGAGCACCAAACGCGCCTCTTCCCCGCAACCTCAAGACCGCAACCACACACCAGCTCTTCTCTCCCCACCAAGTCCCCATTCTCAACCTCAACACAAATCATGTCCTCCGACGACGCCTATATGTCCTTCTTGGATAAAGCCAATGCAGATGTGAGCGGCAGCGCCCCGCAGCAAGGGGCCGGCACCGTCAAAACCGAGACCGTGCACAGCTCCCTGTCCGTCCCAAAGCCGCTGCAGTCCGTCGACGCATACTACATCTCCGATACAGACGAGCCCTTCGAGCCTGTGGCATTGAAGTGGGATGGTGCTGCCAAGGCCGCGTGGCCTAGTGCTGGTATGTCCTGATCCTGTCCCGATTCCATTTCCTAGTTCCGCATCCTCCTTCGTAGATACTCCCTTGAGAAAAAACCCCCCCAAGATAAATATCCTTGATCTGCCCTGCTAATCTCCACCTCCCTCACTGCAGACCAGCTCTCCTCCCTGATCTCCCCAGATACCGACCTGTCCCAGTCCATCTCCATTCTATCCCCGTCCTCCTTCGACCCGAAGAATCAATACTCCACCGCCCTGGATGCTGTCCGTGCCGCGGCTGTCGAGAAAGATTCTAGTGCCGATCAGTCGGCTGTTGAGCTGAAGGTCTACCGCGTTGAACAAACCAGCACCAAGATCGAGTACTGGGTTCTGGCACTAGATGCGCCTGAGAGCCGTCTTGTCGGTTTGCGTGCTAAGGCTGTTGAGTCGTAGATGGTTGAACTGTTCACATCCATAATGAAGAGAGCCCTTGGGAAGATAGTGTAGGACATAGTTTGTATTTTGTTATTTGATTGATATGTAGCTGTCTATTCCACCGAAATACGATATCTTATGAGAAAGCATCGATGTGCATCGGTACGTGTTACTCGCTGCCTTGGTCTTGAAATTGATAATACTGGCATGGAATGGATAATCAGAGGTTTCAACCTACCTTGACCTTGGTGTAAGGTGATCCTGACAGCTGTTTGTTCGGGATTTGTTGCATTCTTCAGGCCCGATGAGCTGGAGTTTGGCAGGACGCGTGTCAATGGCAGTGCAAAGCAGGTTGAATTACTCATTTAACCTTGAATGGAACAACTGTGGCAATTATTCTCGTAGCTACATGTTTTAGAGAAAGTAAAGAAATTGTATGCATCTCTCATGTTGCGCTGGTAGAACGGGGGGTCTCGGGCCATGTCTCATCTTCTCCGCTGATTCGCCCTTCGCTTCAACAACCCCCAATCTATACAAAGCAACCTTGAACTGCTATTATTACTACATCTGAAATCTCTTCAGGTTCATGACCATGTCGATCCCTGAATTCCGGCCAGCATTCAGGGCGGGCCATTCCTCGGGCCCTGGGAAGCAACGGGAATGCCGCACCCTAGAATAGCCCTACCCAGGGTGTGAGAGTCAGGGTAGAGCTTCAAAACCACCAGTCTACTTAAATCAATTGAACCTGACGGTCAATTGTATACAGAATATGGCGTTGGGTCATGGAACAACGTGCTGAACAGTATTTTACTATCGTCCACAGTCTATCATAAAGACTCGGGAAGAGAGAGGCCCAGAGAGGCCCAGACATACCACTGGTTGCCCCCTTGGATCTGTGTCATTCCTGTCTCCTCGTGAACCCAAACAAGACCCCTCGGGCCATCTAGGCTCTTCTTTTCTTCTGTGGTTTTGGCTTTATTTCTTCGTTTAGACTCTGTCTCTTCTATCGTGTCGCCGAGGGACCTTCGATGCTATCCGATCTGCCGTGCCCGTTCTTTCGCTAAAACATCGCACTGTTCAACTGTGCAGTATACCTACCTAGGTCCTCAGTCCTTACCGTTCAGATATATAGCGAGATCTTTGTGTGAAGAACCGCAAGAAAGAAGACGAAGCAGAACACAACATCATCATACCAGCCTAGGCCACGGATTCCACCACCGACTGATGCAAAAGTGCTGTTCTTGCGGCAGCAACCGAAGGTAGATAGCAAGGGCTTGCCAGTGCAGAGCAAACGAGTGTGTGGAGATTGTCCAGAACTTGAGAATTGACAATAAAATGTCGGACCACGGATCTGATGGCTCTGAAGGGAAGCCGACGCCTCACATCCGACTCAATTCGGGGCGTCAAGATCCTTTCCTCCAGACAAATGAGGGCTACGCGCCTCTCACATCGCGGACATTCCCTCGACCCCTGACACCACAGGGCCCCGACACGCCCACGGCGGTTGGCGCTCAAGGGATGGCAATTTCACCATACGCAGCATCGAGTGTCCCTGAGTCCTCCGAATTCCTGTTGCCTCCGAAGTTGCGGCCTACACAGGGACATGGTGTGAGTTATACTGATCGGCCCCGGTCTCCAGACAGGTGGTCTGCGGCTCGCTCGAGTATCAGCTCCATGAGTCGTGAGAGCACTTTCCCCTTGGATCCGTTCCATGACTCTAGGGCGCCTTCGCACGCTGGTAGTGAGGAGTACGATGTCAACACGCAGACTGTGTCGGGGAAGTTCAATATAATGCCTACTGATGGGTTGTTGTTATTCCCCGAGGATGTGGAGAAGGATGACTACATGCATAACCCGGACCCGGCGGACAAGGATCGGGATTGTGATATTTGGAATCGAAGGGGTATCCTGAATGTCGGTGGTCTGGCAGTTTTCACACTAGGTCTTCTGGTGCTTTTCATTGGTTACCCGCTCATGTAAGATGCTGGCTCGTTTGATCATCTCTACTCTTGGCTAACTAGCAATCACAGAACTTGGTTGACGGGCTTCACAAAACATTCCGATGGGGTATGCCACCCTGAAGACACGTTGTGTTTGGATGTTGGGGAACGGCCACTGTTGGAAAACCTGCGGAAGGGCTTGATTGACCCAGACACACCGAAAGAGGCACTCACCAAGAAAAGTGTCAATGGGAAGGAGATGAAGCTAGTGGTGAGTTATTTGATATCCCGCTAACAACGACAAGTGGCTGACGTTTCCATTACAGTTCTCCGACGAGTTCAACATGCCTGGTCGAACATTCTTCGAGGACGATGACCCGTACTTCCAAGCAGTGGATATGTGGTATGGAGTGACACAGGACAAAGAGGTTAGTACAAACTGTGTCCAAAAAAAAAAAAAAAAAAACCACCGCTCAAACACTGACACTGCCTAGTGGTATGATCCCGACGCAGTAACCACGGCAGATGGCACCCTCCAGCTTCGATTTGACCACTTCGAAAACCACGACCTAAAATACCGATCTGGTATGGTACAGAGCTGGAACAAGCTCTGCTTCAAGGGCGGCCGTCTCGAAGCCAGCATGTCCCTCCCGGGTGATGGACATATCCAAGGTTTCTGGCCTGGTTTCTGGGCAATGGGTAACCTGGCTCGTCCTGGCTATGCTGCTACTACCGATGGCATGTGGCCATACAGTTACCATGACGGCTGCGATGCAGGCATCACCCCGAACCAGAGTTCTCCTGATGGTCTCAACTGGCTGCCTGGTATGCGGTTGCCTGGATGTGCCTGCCCCGGCTCTGATCACCCAACTCCTGGTACTGCACGCAGTGCTCCTGAAATTGATGTGATTGAAGGTAGCACCGCTCCACTGTATGGTGATAGCGGTCCCTACGTCGGTAGTGCGTCGCAGAGTCTGCAGACTGCGCCATTTGATTTGTGGTACCTGCCTGACTATGGTGAGTATCTTTCAATCTTTCTATTATACAAAACATCTACTAACTAACCGAACTCCAGACTTCGCCGCCGTTTACGACTCACGCGTCACCGAAATTAACGACTACCGAGGCGGTGTCTATCAACAAGCCATGTCTGGCCTAACCAACCTAAACCACCGCTGGTTCAACGGCACCGAATACCAAACCTACTCCTTCGAGTACACACCAGGTGCAAAAGGCGAGGTGACGTGGTTTGTCGGCGCCGAAAAGACCTGGACACTGGACGCTCGCGCCATCGGACCTAACGGCAATGTCGGGCAACGCACGATCCCACTCGAGCCTATGGCACTGATCATGAATATGGGTATGGCGGATAACTTCGCGCCGCAGAATAAGAGTATCATTGATTTCATGCCTGCTATCCTGCGCTTCGACTATGTCCGAATCTACCAGGACCCCGATGATGAGAGCGTTACTTGTGACCCACCTGGTTATGAGACCACTGAGTATATTGAGAAACATCGCAAGGCGTACGATAATTGGAACTTTACGACCTGGTAAGTTTATCACGCTGGTTTTGTCTTCTTGTTTGCGCTTTACTAACATTGAATCTCAGGGATGAGGCTGGCTACCATTGGCCTAAAAATTCTTACATGCACGACTGTCCGGCTAAATAGATTATTACTTTCTCTTTTTCACTTGATCTCCTAAACTGTTGGTCGTTTTAGCGGCATTGTTTTCTGGCGTTGTTGGCTTTTTGGCATCACACTATATTTATTCTCGCCATCATTGATTCAATACAAACGTTTGGTTCTTTTCACTTGTTCCTTGTAGAACTTGTATTATATCTGTCCCAGTGGTCATATTCTAAAAGGAACACTGTCTTTGACGATATTCAGGATTGTGAAAACGGAGATACGGTATTTTCGCAGTAAACCATAACAAAAACCAAGGTTCCTGTTCAAGGCCTAGGGATATATTTCTAGTTCGACAAGGACTAACTTCCGATCGCAGTATCCTTGATATCCACTAAGCCCAATTAGGCGGTTCAACACCAGCAGCTTGCGCATATTGCCATCATGAGTCCTCACCGCCTACTTGATATAGCCACAGTACGGGGACCCACCCCGAGAGGGCACGAGGTTATCTCATCAACAAGCTGAATCGTCTATATCTCGACTTCTATCTGAAGTGCTGTGACCGCGTATGTTTGAAACTCCTTATTGAGGTGGCAATTCTTCCCTGTCAACCTATCTCCGAGAGATGGCCAGTCTCTCGTCCAGTTACCGCCAATATGTGTTCCTCATCCACTGACATTGGCTATAGATCAATCCTGAAGTCATACAATAAGATATACATGAAATTCTCTGTCAATCATAGACCTGAATCAAAGTCTACCACAGAGACATTATTACTTCCATTCTCACTAGTTACTGGTTGCATCTCGTCATCCGATTTCTGACTCCGCACCACCACATCAACTCAAAAGACCCCCTCTCAGTCTGCTTTTGACTTACCACTAAGTTATATCCCATCTCACTCTCTTCAAAATGTCCAACCAAGCCGTACACATTATCTCAGATACGGAATCTGAATCCGAATCTGACGGCGGAATGCAACTCGACGATCTGGACCGTGCCGACGGGATACCAATGTTCGACATCGGTGAAAATGGCGGAATTCCAAACGTGGACGGCATACCAATGCCCCGACCTCAATCAGAAGATGATATTTGGGGCTTGAACACATCAAATGGATCAGACACGGGTGTGTATCCCTCTTCCCGCCCTCGTTATCAAATCCAACTACGATCCATGATCCACCATCTATCTATCCCTGTTCTCCCCCAAACCGCGTGAATTCTTGCTTCTGTGTATTACACAAATACATGGCACAAAATCCCACCCCAATCCCAACTCCACCTAATACAACCACATGTCTACAAAAACTAATACCCCCCAAAAGGAAGATTCAACAGCCGCGCCCAAAACCCCCTCACAACATCATACAACCGCGCCAGCCCAAATGGCACAACAGAACCCGAAACCGCCTTCGAAAAAGATGCCCGCACACGCTCACATCTCCGCGACGAAAAACACGCCGCACTAGCCGTCCTCATGGACAGTGAGTTATTGGTTACATATGCACTTGCCTCTCGAGAAGTACGTTTGACAACCATACATACCCCCGACCTGACCTGACTTACCGTATCCTTCCTTCCCTTCATCCATTGCCAAACCTCGCCATAATTACAAATACAATTAAAACTAACAAACACAAAAGACAATCCCCCAAACCCGCCGGCGCTTCCTGGCAAAATATCTCGCTCCCAGCGACCCGGAAAAAGCAGAAGAACTCTACGACCCGCGGTTCTATATTGCGCCCGATGGGAAGGGCGGGGAAGGATCACTTATTCGTGCTCGGTATCGGGAGGTTATTGGGAATATTAATGATCATAACTGGCATAAGCCGGCGCATTTGAGGGTGATGGATGCGAAGAAGGCTAGGGGTGGTGGTTCGCGCTCCCTTGGGGGTTCGGGGTCTTCTTCTGGTGCGAATTCGCCGAGGAGGGTTTCTGGGGGTGTTGGTGTTGGAGTAGGAGGAGGGGGGGCTTCGTTGGTTGGGAGCGGTTTTGGTCGAAGGCAGGATCAGGTTGAGGATGAGGATGAGGATCTTTGAGTTAGGAATTGATCTATTTTTTTTTTTTTTTTCCTTCTTTCTTTTTTATAGCGTGCTGGTTCTTGCATGGTTGGATCTTGTTGTGGGATACTTTGAATACAGGGTATGTATGTATCTACTAAGGACGGATATGATACTATAATGTTTGTATTCGCTAAAGCAGATTAAAAGGAAAGTACTATACAGAGAAGCCAAATCAACGACAGAACCACCAGCCCAGAGAGGATGAGGAAGAGAACAAAGGAAAGAGGAAAATGGGTATCATCGAGAGGATCCAGAAAACATAATAGTTTCACTGGGGTTTTTTTTTGTGTTCTCTTCCCCTTTTTCATCTCTGGGGTATTACCTGAGAGTCTCAGGCGACGCGGTGGTACTGTAGTCCAACTTGTGAACTCATCTTCGCATTCTCATTCTTGGTGGAACAGCTGATCACAGATGCAGCCATCCAAAATATCCAAATCGGAGGAAGGGATTAAACAAGGCGAGAGAAATAGAGGAACCAATCAGAAGACAGAGAATAGCCAAGACCAAAGCCAAGGCTAAGCCAAGTGAGGCACGTCTTACATCTGTTCCTCCTCTCTTCTCCGCTTCTCCGAGTGAAACAGACTCTCCATGTCTCCTACTTGCTTACGCTCCGAAACCTCTCGGCTGAGCATGCGAGCGTAGTGGGCCTGGGCATTCATCAGTGTCAGTCCTCGAGACGGCGTGGGTTTGTATTCCGGGTCATTGTAAATTGGGTGGTGCAGGCGGTGCGAAGTGGTGATCCGGATCCGACCGTCTCTCATGACAGGTGATTGTCATTGCAGGGGCTCGGAGCTTGAAGAGAGACGGTTGAGATGGAGGTAGACGTCAGTCCCGTAACTATGGAGATCAATTAGCAAAAGAATTTTTATGAAAGATAGGTAGTAAGAAGCAGAGAATTTAACATACCCCTCCATACTGATCAACTTCAAATCACCGCCAAAGTACCGCGCGTACAGTCGGCTTATCGGTAGGCCATATCCAAATCCAGCCATTGGCGCTTTGAAGTCGTTCTTGTCGAAATCAGGGTCCAGGTTGGGCGTTTGCTCCACGGTGGTGTACATGTAGGTCCAGACGAGAGGGATCGATGACCGGGGGATACCACCGCCCTCGTCGGAGATCTTGATCGTGATGTCCTCTTTGCCTTCGGCAACTATGACCTTCGTCACGGGGAATTCATCCTTATCGGCACCATGTTGTTCGACGACCGCCCGAAGCGAGTTCTTGAGGGTCTCGAAGAGCATGTGCGATAGGTGTCCAGGAACATACATGAAGTTCAAGTCCTCCTTGCAGACCAGCTGCACCTTGGGCGACTCGAAAAGACCGTAGTAATCCTCGCAGACGAAGCGGGCGTTTTCAATGGCCTCGAGCGCGATGTCCCGAACATTGGTCTTGGTACAAATTATTCCGACATAGTTGGGGTGTTTGATGTGCGTTTGTTCCGTGAGTGCGATGTGTTGGCCGATGAGCATTCGTATACCAATCCTTGACATGTAAAACCGGTCGAGGAAGGACTGAATCGTGGAGTCGATCTGCATGCGCTGTCGTGCACGTTTCCATTCCAGGATGCCTTGCGCGACGGTGGTCACGACCCCATCATGGCGTCGCTTGATCTGTTGGAGGGTCTTGGCGAATCGTTGGTTGTAGTCGTTGAGTTCCGGAGGCCAGTCTCCGCGGTCGTCCGCGGGGAAAAAGTACCGTCGGCCTGCCGCGGCGTGCGCTTTTGCAACACCATTTCCATTGGCTGCGGTCACGGATGACCGGTACTGTCCTTCACGCACACTGGGATTTTGAGTTGTTTCGGAGAGGATTTTTGAAGGGCCGCCGTTCATCCGGCCTGGTCGCAGTAGGCGTGCTTTCACTTCTTGAGTCAGAGTGGGGCGAGGAAGAGCAATGATTTCCTGGTATATTGGGTCAGGATATGGAACCGAGATCGATTGCCAATGGGTGAGTCACATACCTCAAATGACTGCGCATACCAATCCTGGACTTTTTTGATCGATGGCATCTCACTGAGTCCGTCTGGCAGCTCACCCAGATCCTGCACGCGATGTGCGAGACGGATCGGGAGCTCCTCAGAGAGAAATTGAGAGGCGCGGAATAGGGTACCTAGATGAGAATTAGATATTGACTCGCGACAGTGCCAGATTGGTTAGTAGTTCATACCTGTTGAGGGACGATCACCAAATTGAACCATCTGCCTTAGCGAGACACCGGTTGCGGGGAAGCTGGCATAGTGTCTGATGGTGTCCATCAGCCTTTCTGAAGGCTTCCACATGGTGTATATTGGCCGAATGGCCTAAAAAGATGTGTCTAGAGAGTGTTTTTATCTGAAGAGAAATGTGGAGGAGGAAGTGTGAGTAATGCGAGTCATCGGAACGTTTTCACTGCCGAGGTCAAGCGGTCCCCGGGTTTTCTCCGCTTGCGCTCTCCGGGGACCGGAGGATTGGAAGATCACACGACTGGAAAATAAGCAACGTACGATTTACAGAGCTATTGCTTATAGTTGATTTTCTTTTTTTTTTTAGGGGAGGTTCTTCTTCTTTTTTTAAATAAAATAAAGAGAAAAGTGTTATAATAATCCCCAAGATACTAAATTGACATGTACAACTCCGTTCACCCGTATCCCAAGTCGGCCTATGACATAATTATAGCTGCCTCAGGCCTAAAAGGGTAGCGTGCCATGACAGGCCTGAGGCATGACTCACATGCAAGATATCAAATGGAATGTTGGGGACATGTGAAACTACCATCTACCCGGACCCTGTCTTAGTTTCAAGTTCAGCTGACCTATGAACCTTGCAGGTAACAAGAACTCCCCATTTAGTAAAGGTTGAATTGAACCTTGGAAATATACCTAATCCGTACTCTGTACATATAAATGGGACTAACTGATGAGTCATCGTCACGCAACCTTGGAAGGATCTTTAGAATAAGAACAATGGTATGATTTAGGCTAATAATATGTCAAACATAAGTGTATGGAGTACTAGAATCTATACTTGACATAGCTTGGTATTATATACTATATAATGTCTATATAACAATGCTGGATTCCCTCTCAAATGATATCTATTTTTATATAGAAAGAGATATATATATGCATATACATCTACATTATAGTATGTTATAGATGATAGAACTACGGAGTACGGAGTATATAACTGTGCACCATATGACCCAGGTCGATAGGACCGTGCATAATCTAACATTTTGGTACTTTTGTCAATCCTCCCCCCCATCACCCCCCTTTTTTAGCCTTTCAATAGCCATCGCTAAAGAAAATGACACTTGTCGAACACCGCGGCTATCTTGCATTTTCTGGCGCAAGCACTCTTTGTTCACCTTAATTGAACAATTCCTCAGAAGAATCTTCATTTGAAGATCCGATATCCTGATATCCTATATCCTATATCCTTTATATCCCATAGAGAAGAAAGAAAAGAGAGAGAGAAAGCCATAAGATGATGCAACGGGCCACGTTCCCACCGCTACCCATTCACCCGTCCAACAGATCCGCTTTCTGGAGACTCAAGATTCCCTTTTCGAGCTCTTGCTGTTGTCTAGCAATTATTGTCTCTGACTGGCTATTCATCGGCCCCTCCTTGTTTTTTTGTGTGCGTTGGCAAAATAAACCAATCTCCCTGAAGGGAAAAAAAAAAAAAAAAAAAAAGAAAACAATCAATTGTGCCCTAAAAACCTGTCAAAACTTCAAAACCTCAAAACCTCATCTCTTCAATTCCTTGACCTGTGCACCCGTGACATCTTATCCTTTAACCCCCCCCCGGCATATAACATAGCGAGAGGAAAAAAAACCCCGTCCTCCGAAAGCAAAAACATATATACCCTCCGGAATTCTACAGTCCACACAAATGTCTCGTCGTCGAATATCCCACAGCGAAATGAATGAGGCCCTCGCCTACCCCTTCATGCAGTCCAACGGTCAATCCAACGGTCAACCCCCTCGTCGAGGTCCTATCGAAGGTCCCGATGGCCGTCGTCTCATCCGTCGCGTCACATGGCGCTCCTCCACATACAAACTCATGGCCACCCTCTGGGTGCTAGCCGTCCTCTACATCGTCTGGCTAGTCCGCGACCTCTTCATACCCTCCGAATCCGAATCAACCCCTCCTGCTCAACCCGAACAAAATTAAAAGCCTCATGTGTGGGGAGGGGCAGGCAAAGGATTGCGTTTCTTGGATTGGATCCTTTTCCCGGAGAGTGGGGGGTTTTCGCCCATTGCGGATTGTTACGCGCCAACGTTGGCATTTTTTTTTTCTTTTTGGTTCTGTGGATATTTGGGTCTGAGAGGGTAGACTGGTCTTGGGCAGAGATGCATTTGGCGCTTCGGGGGAAACCACGCCTTTTTTGGCCCCTGGAGAGATTGCGCCGAGGAACCACATCCACACGCGTGGGCTTGATTTGTTGCAACGGCCGTTTGGGATTTACGCTTGGTGGCTGACGGAGTATCTCCGGGTTATTGGCAATGACGCTGTTGGATAGTTCGGGGGGAATTGTGTCACTTGCCAATGATGTGCTGGTGGATTCGAACTTTGCCAGATCTTCACTTTTGGGGGTTTTTTATGCCATGGTCGTGACCTTCTCTACGGACTATATCTGCTGTTCGGCACTCAATTGACCCCCAAACAGCTCTCTTTTTTTGCTTTCTTCATTCGTTTTATTTGCATTTCTGTTATGATTGCATGTCCACAGCGTTCTATTGCATATAGTTATGATTACCATGCAGGTTGATAGCCTGAGCATTTCTATCTTCTCTCTTATTCTTGGGGCGGTTCAATTGTCAGTTTTCTTTTTTATACAGCAAAAGCTTGGAATATCCTATATCTCTCTCTTCTAGTAAGCTTCCAAGGTTGTCTTCTCTTATCAGTCTTGTGTCTATGACACACTTCAAAATTGACCCCTCCTATCTAAACCCCTCGAAGATTTGCGCGGGGCATCGGGGAAGCAGGGAAGTGGGGTGGGAAATTTCCCTCAGAGATATCCACAAGTGGAACATAATGCCTTGCATTTCAATTTGTATACACACATGTGACTCCCTTCTCTTTCCTCTATCGGACATCTCATATCTCCCCATCTCCGTCTTTTTATATAACTTTTTTTTTTTCACATTCTAACATATACATAGAATACGACTGTACTAAGGTACCCTTAAACGTACAGAGCAGAGGTCTCGCCCTTGGCAATGGTGCTGGCGTAGGGCTTGAGGGCAGCGGCCACCTCGGTGCTGGTGAACTTCTCGACCTGCTGAGGAGCACGGCCGACGAAGGTGCTGGCATCGAGAAGGGTGTCCAGCTGAGGGATAATGGGGTTGAAGAAGGCGGTGCGGCGGATGCGCTCGATCAGGTCGTTGTCCTTACCCTGCTTCTTGACGTTGTCGGCAGCTTGGTGGGAGAGAACACCTAGGTATATTAGAATTCCGGTTCGGAATGGAAGATATGAGACAGAAACTTACGGATCTCCTCGTGGGCGTCCTGGCGGGAGAGACCCTTGGCGACACAGGCCATGATGATGTTCTCACTGACATTATACCGTTAGCGATATCCATTAGATTAGTTGGATGTAGACTCACGTGGCCATGAAGGGAAGCTCGTCGTTGACGCGGCGCTTGATGACCTCGGGGTAGACAACAAAGCCGGAGGAGACGTTGTCTACTACTGGTTAGCTATACTCTTGAGCTTTTAATGATTCTGAAAACTCACTCAGGAGGATGAGACAGGCGTCAGCGGTCAGGTACAGCTCCGGGATGCTGATACGGCGGATGGCACTGTCATCCTGGTACAAGTTAATAAAAGACTCCAAATGAATCCCGGGGTACACTTACGAGAGAGCGCTCGAACCACTGAGCGGAGTAGGTGTCCAAGCCGTCCTTGGGGAGGTTCTGCAGGTGACGTCCGAGAGAGCAAAGACGCTCCGAGCGCATGGGGTTGCGCTTGTAGGCCTACGGATCATTAGCCAAAATGCCCAAATTAATACAATAGAAAAGCAAACCCACCATGGCACTGCTGCCAATCTGGTCCTTCTCGAAAGGCTCCTCAACCTCCTTGAGCATGGCAAGGTGACGGATGTCAATACCAATACGCTCGCAGGTAGCACCGAAAGAACCAAGAGCGTTGCCGACATCAACGTCGATCTTACGCGAGTATGTCTGACTGGAGATGATGAAAGCGGAGCTGAATCCAGCCTTCTCAGTGACAAGATCGTCCAGGCTCTCGACCTTGGCGTGGTCGCCGTTGAAGATCTGCAGGAAAGAAGCTTGAGTACCGGTGGTACCCTTGACACCACGGAATCGCAGGTCATCACGGGCACGCTCGAGGTTGCGCAGATCCATCAGGAGATCCTGGATCCAGAGACAAGCACGCTTGCCAACGGTAACCAGCTGGGCGGGCTGACCGTGAGTGAAGCCCAGGCAAGGGAGGTCCTTGTACTGCTGAGCGAACTGGGACAGCTTGTCGACAACAACAGCCAGCTTGGGGATGAGGATGTCGAGGCCGTCGCGGAGCAGGATCAGATCGGCATTGTCGGTGCAGTAGCATGAGGTGGCACCCCAGTGGATGATACCGGCGGCGGCGGGGGCAACCAGGCCAAAGGCGTGGACGTGGGCCATGACATCGTGTCTGCGGCGCTTCTCCTCCTCGGCGGCAACGGCGAACTCGTCATCCTGGATAACCTGGTGGGCCTTCATCTGCTCGATGGCCTCGGCGGTGATAGGAAGTCCAAGCTCTGTAGCCATGATTCAGTCAATTTGGGTGTCTTGCTTCAACTACCTCCGATCTCGGTTGAGCCTCAACTCTCCCGTACCTTTTTGAGCCTCCGCGAGCCAGGTCCAAAGCTGTCTCCATGTGGAGAAGCGCTTCCGGGGGGAGAAGAGGTACTTCATCTCATTGCCTAATTAATTGAATATGATTAATTCTGATCTATACAATTTCGGGGTTGCCCCTCCTATAGAGGGGCAGTCGGGACCGACTTACTCGCATAGCGCGAGTTGAGGGGAGTCTGGTAGACATCGTTGCTTCCGGACATGGTGTCGGTAGTTGTTTGAGACGCTCAAACGAAGAATTGAGCAACGGGACGGAGGATAAGACAGTGACAAGGCAATGTGCGAGCAATGAATTTTTGCTGCACTTCGATTTTAGCGGGGCTTATCAGTCACGTTATCGGAGATGATCTACATGTCACATGACACCATACGATATGCACATGTTTTTACTGGCGGGCAATGATCCATAGGTAGTGGTAGCATACATTATTATGATATTAGCTCGTGTAAGTGACAGTCCTTCGTGATTTCAATTTTTCGCTCAGGAAAATCAAGCCAACTGCGCCAGCTGTACCGATAGGCTTGCCTTGTCGTACTTGATGTATTTGCCGCGGCCTTTATCGATCTCCACATATCGATCGTAAAAGCGCGCATACAAGGGCTCGAGAACGGTTTGCAGCTCACGAGTCAGCAAAGTGCGCACTTCGCGCTCCATGTGAAGGGTTTTGTGCCGAGACACCATATCATCGAAGCTTGCGTTGAATGCCTTGAACTTGTCCTTGATCGCATCCTTATCCTTGGACGACAGCGACTTGACGATGGCACTTGAATCCACGTTGCCGCCAGAATTGCGCTGGGCGCCACGGGAGGTATACTGTACATCAAGAAGGTACTGAGAAGTTTCCTTCCATGCATCGAGATAGGTAGACGTCGCGCGCTTGCGGAAAGTGTCGATCCGGGCGATACTGTCGGGGGTGCCCAAATAACGTGCCAGCTCTGAGCTCTGTCGGATCGACCGGTCGACCACGCAGAACACGTTGGACAAGAACACACCAAGCGCTGCCTTGGATCGATGGAAAGCCCGACCTCGAGCTTCTAGGGAGGTCATCAAGGACTCGATCATATCTAGAATAAAATGTGACAGAAGTGTGCCGCTATCTGGACCTACATCCAGAGGAGCTGAGCCGGCGGCGTTGGACTTGGCACGCCAGTTTCCATCTCCCAAAGATGTCAGGATAGAAGCCAAAGGACCCGAGTATCCTGTTAGTGTGGCCAATGAGCTCATCACTTCCTCCACAAGAGGCACCGATCCACCGTCCGGTGGGAGTGGTGCGGTAGCGGCTTTGCGCTTCGTTTCCTCGAGCAATTCGGAAAGAGACGACTTTGCAGTCTCGCGTACAGGCCGAAGAGCCTCCATCAAGAGGCTCTTTAATTCCGCGGCCTTGGAATCAATTCGATAGGACATCGCAGTCACAATTTCGATGATCTCAAAGGCCAAGAAGCAGTCCGTCATCAGATTGGCCTTTATATACTGGTTGAGCTCACGCAGTGTTTTGGAGTATTCGCCCATGGCCGGGTAGAAGGTAGCCTGTAACGCCAGACCCTGCTGATCTCCCGTAAACATTTGCACGATAATACCGTGCTCGGTAGTTATGAAGGCCTCCAGCGCATTGGAGTAGATACCAATACCATTGGTACCCTGCCTGTAAGGACCATCGGTAGGTCGCCGTTTGACGGTATTGAGGGATGCAATGGCGAGATTCTGCAAACTGGATGAGATGTATGGTCCTCGTACATCCGCATACACCTTCAACGCGGGGTTATCCCCCTTGCCGCGCTGGGATCCATGAATAGATGCGGAGCCGACCGCCGAGCACAAGGGCGCCATATGGGAGATTGTTTCTTCGGGTATGGATGGAAAGGAGAGATCTAAAAACGTTGCGCGTTAGTTTTGATCTAGGTCGTTTGGTCGTGATAACGCGTACCTTTGGTCAGATAGTGTAGGGGCTCAACCGGAGTGGCATGCTGGCTCAGTTCTCCCCGTAGCAGTTCTTGAAGTTTTGCGCTTCCAGTGTTTAAAAGAGAGTTAAAGTCGGTGATCGCATTCTGATTTGATCGCAGGTTTGTTGTACTGAGGTCGACCAGCGCCTTTTCAACACGTTTCATCGCCGACAGGTACTGCGTGAGACCGGAGCTCTGTGGTCTGGGGAATAGTCAGCAAAGAAAGATACTTAACGCTGCAGGTCCAAATAGAGTAGAAAGACACATACCCTGCGCGAATGATGCCATCTTCTCGGTTCTTTGCATCGAGAGGCTGGCGGAGGCGGTCGATGGCGTCGTTGACCTTGTCGATATTGCTGTTGGTGATTTGAAGGGATTGGGTATTACTGTAGATGGGACCAATGGCTTCTTTGACAACTTTTCCTCCTGTCTCTAGGCGTACCATGGAGCCTTGTATCTTCTTCGTGAGTCGGTTGAGCTTCTCGAGGTTGGCATACAGGACCTCGACCTCCGCGCTCTCCTCGGCGTAGGCGGTATTCCTTGGCGCCACCATGGTTGATTGGGAAATGCAGTTCAGGCAAAATCAATCCAGAGAGATCATATCACATGTCATCCGGGCCCCTCATGTCCTTTGAGGCCAAATGGAATGTATTGATTGTCCCCTCCGAGCTCCATCCAGTGATAAGGAGCTCCGCCACGCTAGTCCGAAAGAAGCCAGCGACCCAGTCCGGCGCTATCACGTGTTCATGGATCACGTGAATGAACGACGTCATGCACCGAGGGCTGTTAACGGGTGGCTTGCAAGAGAAGGCAGGCAGGGGTTTGGGAATCCTTCAATGGATCCCACTGTATGCAGCAGGCCTCTTACCTTACCATTATCTCTCTGTCTACAATGGGCGCTGCAAGGGCCACTCGTCTGTGGACGGTACCTCCCGCTGCCCTAGCTGCATACACTGCGGGGGAATGGTCTCAGCCCAGACAATCAAGAGCTCAATCCACTAATTCTCGAGCACGACACAACAATGATCCGGAGTCCAGCAACTTCAATGCGGGCTCATATGGGGTTGGCGCGGACGGCAAGGACGATGGATCCATCTGGAACAACATCGGCCGCAAGCTCGATGGGGTTAAGCAAACTGTTGGCTCCGGCGAGTGGGTAGATGTGGGTAGTATCACAGACTACATCATCCCAGACTGGACGCGCTTTCTACCGGCTACCGTTCAAAAGCTTCAGCGAGAGCTCTCCTTGTCACCCGGCTCATTGGCAAACGATATCTGGAGGGGAGGCACAGGACCCCGACATCAACCCTGAGATTCTCCGCGACGCCGAAGTACGGGTAAGTGGGGATCTCTGCGATGAAGAGCAGGAGTTTAGACAGCAGCGACAACGGAAGGTTGTCAAAGCATTGTCATCCTACCTCAACATACCTGAGGAGGACATCCACCCCGAAGATGTACCGGTCATTGCGATGTGCGGCTCGGGAGGTGGCCTGCGTGCTCTAGTTGCAGGTACCGGATCGTACCTGGCAGCACAGGAAGCAGGGCTGTGGGACTGTATTACCTACACAGCTGGTGTCAGTGGCAGCTGCTGGCTGCAGACCCTCTATCATTCGTCCATTGCGCAGCGAAACTTCGACAAACTTGTCGACCATTTGAAGAATCGTCTTGGTGTTTATATTGCATTCCCACCGGCAGCTCTCGACCTCCTCACTACTGCTCCGACAAACAAATACCTTCTCAGTGGTTTTGTGGAAAAGCTGAAAGGCGACCCGGGAGCGGACTTTGGGTTGGTGGATATTTACGGGTTGCTGCTTGCAGCGAGACTCCTGGTCCCGCGAGGAGAACTCGGAGTCTCCGATATGGATTTCAAGTTGTCGAACCAGCGAGTTAATTTGATGAATGGGGCTCATCCCCTTCCTATCTACACGGCGGTGCGACATGAGATTCCTGTCGAGGCCCTCGAGCACTCAAACGACAAGACCAAGAAGCATCAAACGCCTGAACAGGTAGTGAAAGAGTCACGGAATGAAGCATGGTTCCAGTGGTTTGAGTTTACTCCGTATGAATTCTTTTGTGAAGAACTCAATGCCGGTATTCCTACCTGGGCTTTGGGACGTCACTTCAACGCAGGCCGCTCTGAGGTTTCCGCTGAAAACCTTCCCATCCCAGAGGTGAGAATCCCCGGGCTCATGGGTGTTTGGGGTAGCGCTTTCTGTGCGACTTTGTCCCACTATTACAAGGAGATTCGGCCTCTGGTCAGAGGTCTGGCTGGATTTGGTGGAATCGATTCTCTCATCCAAGGCAAGAATCAAGATTTGATCAAGGTGCATCCCATTGACCCTGCGGGTATACCTAACTACGTCATGGGCATGAAAGACCAGCTACCCGACTCCTGTCCAGACTCGATCTTCCGAAATGACCATTTGCGTCTCATGGATGCGGGAATGAGTAACAACCTGCCAATCTACCCACTCATTCGACCTGGGCGCGATGTTGACATAATTGTCGCATTTGATGCGTCTGCAGACGTCAAACAGGAGAACTGGCTTTCTGTGGTCGATGGATACGCCAGACAACGTGGTATCAAGGGCTGGCCCATTGGCGCCGGATGGCCTAAAAATTCGAGCCTCAAGGATACCGAGAATGCCCTGCGTGAGCCAGAGAACATCACCGAGGAACAATTAACAGAGAAACTCGCCGACGCCAAGAACAACTCTGGAAACCAGCCCACTGGTCAAAAGCCCAAGTCTAGCACAGATCTGGGTTATTGCAACGTTTGGGTCGGCACCACAGAAGAGAGAACCTCGAATGACGAACCTCCACCATCCAAACGTCTCTTCGATTCTTCCCACAACGAAGACCATTCTGAATCCGAGTTCCACCTGATGCGCCCAGATGCCGGTATCGCGGTTATCTACTTCCCTCTGATCCCCAATCCTTCCGCACCAGACACCCCTCCCAAACCTAAAGTGCGTCCGCGTGCAGCTGTTCAGTCCATGCGACAGGATAATTCTCAAACTAAAGACCCGGAACTGCCTCTCGCCCCACAGCCCAACTCGATCGACCCCGAGATTGATGATTTCCTATCTACTTGGAACTTCATCTACACGCCTGAACAGATTGATTCAGTCGTTGGTCTTGCAAAGGCAAACTTCTCTGAGGGTGAAGAGCAGACTCGTCGTGTTGTTCGCGCTGTCTATGAGCGCAAGAAATCCGATCGACTGCAGAAGGAGGCCGCAGAGCATCGGAAGAAGATGGAAGGCTTTGTGCCGCTATAATTCTGTGCTCTTTTACCCTGTCAACTACCACTCTGATTGAAGCTGCATTCAAAACCACGCCATCGTGGATATATACGACACTTGTTTCACCTTTTTATCCTCGCATACCCCTATCCTTTCCTTTTCCTTTTTCCTTTTTCCTTTTTCCTTTTCTTTTTTTTATTGGTCTGAGTTAGATAAACCTGGCATATCTAGATCCATATCTATCACGTTCCTAGCGAGCTGCGATATTCTTCATTTATGTATAGTACAGAGTAAACGGGCTGTGAAAACAATCAAGCATAAAAATAATCATGTCAATGGTATATTTATAAATGCACTATGCACTATGTATTACTTATGCACTTGTACAAGCCCTGAGTAATGCTATGTCCCCCCATTCTTCGCATAATTCGCCTTCACTCCCTCAAGCTCTTTACTATACACCTTCTTAGCATTGACCTTCCGGCCTTCATCATCGGTAGTAGTTGTGGTCTCATCATCACTCCCAGCAAGACTAACATCTCGACTATCACCCGTCTGCTTCCGCAGTCCAAGTTCCTTCTCCAGCGCATGTCCCAGCTCCTTAGTCTTGTCCGAGATACTCGCAGCAGTACTTTTATGTGACGAGCTCTCAGAAGGACGCCGGTTCTCTTTCTCATCTCCCTGTGGCAGTCCACGCCAGTCAGGCGGCTCGCTTTCATGGATGGGATCACCGGGCTTGGGCTCGCTAATCGGCCTCCCAGCTACCGGCACGCTGTCCTCGCTCTTCTTCCCTTTCCCCTTGTCTTTACTCGCTGCACTGGCTTCCACAGTCTCTGCGGCAGGATATCGCCATACAACTTTCAGCTTGTCTAACGCGCGGATCCCCTTCCTCGCGCTTCCCTTGATCCCATCCATCGCGTCCCATTCTGTCTCGAAGACGCCCGAGTCGTGCTCGGCTCCGCCTTCGAAGTAGGGGTTGAACCAGACGTGCGCGATCGACGTTACCATCGCGAAGCCTGTGTAGGATGCTTTGCTGCGGCGCTCGAAGTCGATGTTCACATCCGAGCTGGGGACAATGATTGGCTTGTTGGGCTTGAAGATTATTGCCGAGATACTGTTACCCGCCGAGGACGATGAGCCAGAGACGTCGGATCCTGATACGGCCGGGGACCAGGTCGCAGACGAAGGGAGTGGGTTCTCGATTTTGGGGTTGGGGGCGGGATTTGGTGTGGTGGGCTCGTTCCCCTTGCCAGAATCTTGTTCCTCAGACGTCGAACCCCCGTCTTCAACGATGGTGCGCTCATTCCGATGGAACAGATGAACACACTTGATTTTCTTCCCCTCATCCACATACCCCTCCACCGCAACCTTAACCCCATTCCTCAACCCCCAGATGTGAACTTCTAGGATCTCCACCGGCCGCTCGACATATTGCTTCCCCAGCTCATTTGTCCACTTATCGATGTACCCGACATACCGCAGCTGGCTGGGGATGCTAACGCCGTTCCCGAAACCGACCCGCATACGTCGATCCGTAAACCGCTGCAGCGCGTCTTCCTTCTTCCACCCCTCCTGGCTAATCAAGTATGCGCACGCGATCGTCCCGCTGCGTCCTTTGCCTGCTTTGCAGTGCACGACGGCGACTCGTTCGTTTTTGTCCGTGTCTGTGTTTGGTGATTCTTTTTCCTTGTCGAGTCGTTGTAGCCAGTTCCGCATGCTGCCCATTATGTTTGGAATATGCGCGAATGGCGGTGGGTGGTGGTCTGGCCACGGGAAGTGGTGGATGCGTCCGTAGACTTCTGAGTCCGGATATCCTGTGCCTTCAGCACGGAATTCCCAGATGCACCAGTTTGCGCCATGTTTTGTATCGAGGAAGTTGACTAGGGCGTCTAGTGGGTTGCGGTAGGCGCGTTGTGGGTATGTTGCTGATGGACCGGAGGTTGCAATCACTGTATATTAAGTTAATAAGGGGCCGAGTTTCGTAGAATTGATGAGTGTGCTACCATTGTCTGTGACGTAGCAGAGATCTAGTCCTGCTTCTGGGTGTTGTTGTCTTGGACCGGCGACTATCTGGCGGAGAATTGATGACTGGTGATATTCCAAGGTTAGCAGTTGGAATATGATTGAGTGAGAGCTGGCATACCATTTGTAGAATATATGTTTATAAGTTGTTCCACCAGAATTATGTGGAAAAGATTAATATACCAAGACAAGACAAGACAAGAGCAGACAAGACAAGCAAAAGCAAAAGCACGGGCTATTTTTGAGGCGCAGCCGATGATGTCACCGGGTCTATTAAGCCCTCTCCACAGACTCTTTAAGTATACTCCTAAGTATACTACTATACTACTATATAAACTACTAGTTATATACTTATACTCCATGTATATTATAACAATCCATTTGTGCATCATACAGTCCCAAACTAAGTACATGAAATATTTCCATTAGAAAATCCCAGAAAATTTCCAATCAAACCACAGGTCGCATGCTCATCAAAACAGACCCATTGAGACCACCCATTACATTAAAAACAGAAAACAGCCAAATTCCCCCCTTAATTCAAAAGAGTAACAGGTCAGGACAGGTAGCAATTTAAGCAATACCGTACTCCTGAGTAGGCTTCATAACAAACTGAATCGGGTTGTGGTCAAGAACGGTAACATTCTTCGCGCCGTGCTGGAACCAGGTCGCCAGACTACTGTCACTGAGCACGGATTTCCAAGTGTGGGTGACATCGACATTCCACTCCGGGTTTGCAGCAGGGGAAATAATGGTGGTGATGTTCTTGTCATCGCAAGCGGTCTTGTTGCCTGCGATGCCGGTGCAGTGGGTGCGGAACTTGGGAGTCATTGCGTTCTCGCGGCCGACAATATCGTATTGGTACGCACAGCCACCTTGGGAACAGCCCACGGTGAAGTTGGAGACGCTCCAGATAATGTCGTCGGTGATTGTCTGGGTTTGGAGGGCGGCTGGGCGTGCGGTGGCTAGGCCAGCCAGGACAATTGGGAGGATGGCGGTGAGTTGCATTTTGGATTATGGAATTAGGGTTCTTTTGGGTAGAAAAGAAATATAGGGATATTTTAATCAATGAGTAGTTTGAATTGATAAAATAATAAGGAGGGGGAGAGGGAGGGAATTATATAGTTGATGAAGCGGCAGGCGTTTTACCCTTCCCGACGGCTGCCCTTGGCACCCGGAAACACGCGCCGATCACTTTCAGGGGAATGTTGTGAATGACTTTTCAAGATTCGATACTATAACAATACTCGCTTGATCGCTTGATCGCTTGATAGCCTTCGAATCATCAAATCAGTCGCCGTTTGGCACCCATACAGGTCTTACTGCCCGATAGTTACCCCATCATCGTCATCAAGATCTTTCAGTCCGACTATTTATAGTACAGGGATCCACCAACAGGGAACAGGGTCTATGGTTCATGCTCCCAGGGGTTTGCTGTTTTGTAATAATGATGTGAGAACCTTGGAACAGAACGGAAATAAATTGCTATGATACTGGGGCAAATGTGGGTAATACAAGTGCGAAGAGATTTATAGTACAGGATATATACATATTGACCGAGGTCAAAAAGTTGTGTGTGACATGCCCAGAAAGGGAATTGGTGCTCTATTCCTGGGGGATTGTGTGGCTTGTATTAGCTGCATATCCCAGGCAACGTGCCGTCAAGGAAATGAATATCCCGATCGAGATGAAACCAATGCTCTCAAAAAGCACATCGAAACGATTCTACCAGTTTCATAGTTTCACCGTTTCAGTTTCACTTGGACTTGGCAGAACCATTGTCATTGCCACCGGCTTCCCATTCATCCCAACCCTCCTCTCTCATGTTTTGCTCAATGGCAAGGCGACGTCGTTTCTTCTTTCGACGCTCTTTGTTGTAATCACGTCGCTGCTCATCTGACATGTTCAGCCGACGAACCGCCGGGGGTACAGGGTGGCGACCAGCTCTCTCGTTGGCTTCCTTTTCTTTCTGTTTCAGCTGTAGTTCCTCATCTAGCTTCCTCACATCGTCTCGAATGAAGGGGTGATACTGCAGTCGCATCGCAAACTCGTCCACAGACCCGGAACAGATCTCACGAATTTCCGCTTGCGTTTCAGGGCTGAGTCTGGCGTCCCGCTTCATCAGGTCTTGGAAGTACATGAAACCGGACCGGAAATTCCCCGCATCCAGACACATCAGGATGATAGACTCGAAGGTGACACCGTTCGGTACGACTCCAAGTGACGCCATCTCTTTCACCAGGAACATGCCCGATTCGCGGTTGCGGGCCGTTCGGCACATCCGAATTAGCGCGTTGTACACTCGGACGTCGGCGCCTTCGGGGCACAACGTATAGAGCTCTTTGTAGAATCCAACACCATCATCCACCACGGATGGGTCCTCATGGGCATCGTGTTCACAGAGATCCGCGATCACACGGACAGAATCGATCGGAATAGCTCGTTTCGCATTCTTCAACCGCTTGAGAATCTGCCACGCCTCCCGACGATCAACTTTACTTTGTATCATGTGCGCAAGAATACGCTCCGTCGAGCTATCTGCCAGAGGAATCTGAGCTTCATGCATGGTGCACAGCGCTTCAAATGCAGCAGGCAGATCACCCGCTGCCACGTGCGTCTCAACAAGTCTTTCATACTGTGTGCGCTGGAGCGGGATCCCGCTCTCACGGAGGTAACGGAACACAGAGCTTGCCATCTCTGTATCACCAGCCTTTGCAGCCATTCTCAATACGTCATCGCAGACTTCAACGAGCGGATGCATGTAGCCCAGTTCAACCATCCGTCGCCACACAAAGTGTGCCATGGGGTAATGGCCCTGTTTCCCTGCCTCGGCCAACACGTGCATCCAAAGTCGATGGGTCATGTCGTGGCCCTGGTCGACGCGCGCACGCATCACGTCGTACACCTCATCCAACTCTCCGTGGTCGCAGAGTGTGTAGACAATTATACTGTGTAGCCAGTTTTCCACAACTATATCCTTGCGCCCCATCAATGCAACATGCTCGAGCGCAAGCTCGATTTGGTTCTCGCGGAGAAGACCAGCCGCCACAAAATGCCACCCGGCTGGGCTCAGCGTGAGCCACCGGTCTCGGAGTTTGTTGAGGATTTCCTGTCGTAGGAGGTAGTCCGGATGTACAGCGAGGACCTGTGTTAGAAATTGAATGGTTAGCTTCGCTTTGTATATACAGCTTGGTCCAACTGGATAACCCACCTGCAATGCACCGTGGAGCGTTCCAGAGTCCGCGGTGATGCCGTTATTCTCCATCTCCTCCAGTAGACCGCGCACAAGCTGCGGCGAGCCCCTCTCGTTATCGGTGTTTGCCAGGATCAGCGCCTTGTAGTGGCGAGCATTCGGCTGGACATGACGGTCCCGAATCAGTAGTCGCAGGATCTGCGTTATGTGTCGAATGTTCGGCTTGTTGTCCATTGCATATTGCAATCGGGACTCTAGCCCTTCATTCGTTTTTCCTAGGAGGTCGTCTTGCACCTTATGCGTTCGTGTGTATAGCGGACCTTTTCGTCGTGTGGGTGGCCCGGCGTATGTTGGATCTGAAGTCAGACGAACGTCACGGTATTCATTCTCGCGTGGCTCCCGTGGTTCACTCCGATCATTATGATGTCCTGCATTATATGGGACTTTGAAACTATCGCCGCCTGAGGTGTTGTAGCATCGGCGCGAGCCCGAGCTTGGGCTAGAAATCGAAGGTAGTGGGTGTAGTCCTGGGTTTCGTCCCTTGGATTTGGGGAAGGCCGTTGATCGACTGAGGTTCAAAGCTGTAAATGATGGACACAGAGAGTACCATAGCCCATCGAGGACCAATGCCCGCCGCGACATATCCGCTTGTGGCTAATTGATCGGAAGCTTAGCCTCCGCGGATTTGATCTGGTGTTTGATATCACGTGACATCCACGAATATTCACTGCTTGAATTACACGGGGGTTTACAGAGAAATATGTAAGTCTGGTTTGGGTTTTTGGAGTATAACATTTAGAGGTAGTTGTAAATCGACCAAGTGACCCAGATGCCGTGAAAATACAGAGCCACATACGCCACGGCCATGCTCGATCAAACCGTTCCACCGGACCTTCCGAGCGACCTTACCACCGTCTCCTCCGGGGGTATCTCGTTTGCCGTCTTCTTAAAATCATTCATGCAGAACAAGCTTTATGTCTAATTGGGGCCGCCTCGTCCCCGACCACGTCCACCCCGGCCGCCGCCACCACCCCGACCACGGCCGCGGCCACGATCACCGTCTCGCCCTCCGCGACGGCCTTGTGGTTGGTTCTGTTGCTGCTCTTTGACAATTTCGACAATCTCTTCGGGGACTCGTAGGTATTTGATCTGGTGGGTTGTTAGCACATAACCCAAAGAGCGGGGCTCTGAGTTGATTGCTCATCAGAGGGCTTACGTTGTTGCCCCGGATGTAAACTTCGGGTAATCTGAAGAAGCGGTCGCCTTCGGGGCTCGTCTGCACTACCTCGCGCAGAATCAGGTTCATGAAGTTATCGCACGTAACCAAGTGGCCGTTCAGAGTTTCGCCGTTCTTGAGTTCCACCAGCATGGGGTGGCCCTGTGCGGCCGTGAGGAGACCGAGAGGAAGCTGATCGTAAATTGACTTAGTATAGATTTCGGAGAGGGCGTTTGGGTAAAGCTGCAGCTTACCATTTTGGAATGCGATCGACGAGGTGGGTGAAAGTGGGAGAGTCAGTTAGCGCACAGAGTTGAAAGAGCGCAGGTTGTTGCGTAGATCCAAGTTTTTGTGACCTATGAATTGAATAGCGGAATTAAACCCTAAGGAAGGGGCCTGTTGATTTATCTGGGGATGTTCAGTGTAATGGATTCAAGCTCCAAGAGATGCGACGAGGAAGCCCGGAAAAAGGGAAGTGCCGAGCCCAAATGTGGCTTTGGTGCCATATGCAAGGAACTCTCACAAGTTTTTTTATACATATTCTTCGCTTATATCTACTATTAAACATATCAAATATTCATGGTTCTATCAGTATGAGGGTTTTGGGTGACATAAATTAGTGGATATCAACTAGAATTGAGCTTTCTCAAGTTGCACACATATTGGAGAAAGGTGTATAAGAAGGGTATTGGTATATCAGTACCCTATAAGAATCCTGTCGAATGCTTCGAAAATAACATGCTCGTGTGCATTACATAGTACATAAAAGAGCTGACCACCGCAGGGCTTTCAAACCCTTGGTCGTTTAGCTAGCTCTGTTCCATCCTCCTCCTCGTCATCCTCCTCCTCCATGACCGTGAGCTTGCGTTTGACACGCCGGTCTCGGCTACCGGTAGGAACCTTACTGGCCTGGTCGTTTGCCTCTGCCTGTTCATCCGATTCATCTTCTGGCAAGCGGCCCTCGAGCGCATCCAATGTGATCTCGTAGCCTTCCTCCACATTTTGGACCGTAGCATCAAGTTTCTCCACACGGTCTAAAAGCTCCAGTTCGTTCAAAAGTTCTTTGTGTTTTTTATAGAGACGTTGCTTGGTTAGCATGCGCCACCAGTAGTAGCGTCGGTCATCCTCATTTTCGGCCTTAAACTTCTTGATCAACAGTCGAGCGAGGTTTGTGCCGCCGGCCAGGCGGTGGCTTTGAGGAATCTGGCCGAGAAGGTACATCTCCAGAACATGCGCGAACTGCGTAGGTTCAATCTTGAATGATTTGCGGATGTCGTGGAGAAGCTTGGTGGGGATGAGGGCGGAAGTGGGCACATTGCGAGGACGTTTCTTTTGAGAATACGCTCCGAGGGGGTCGGGGTTGAGATTCACGTTGTGCTTCAGGAACTCCGGCCGCAACAGACAATAATCGGCCGTGTCCCGCAGCGCGTCGAATTGTTCATTGGGGTCTTCGATGGTCAATTCTAAAATGGTTGGGTCTGCGATGCATGCCGCGTGGATTGTGGTATATAGGTGTGTGCCGTGGCCGGCGCGGTGGTGTGAAGGAAGAATAAGGAACTGGGCAATGCGGATCCGTGCAGGAAGCTCGGAAATTTTGACTTCTGGTGGCGGGAACTCATCGTTCTTGACTGTGGGAATTTGTGATTGATCCCGCTGGTAATACCAATAGCGGTACGTTGTGGCATATCCGACAATCGAATATGATGATGCTGTTGGTGTTGGAGGAGTGACCTTCTCATATCTATACACTGGGTTAGTCTCAGGTCACAGGTACCAGCACAGCAAGGAAAAAAAAACATACACGAAATATACCCTCCAACGGTCGAGCGTCCACTCTGGGTCATCTGTCTCTAGGGGAGTTCCGGCTTCTATGAAGAGGGAGACGAGAACCTGCATGCGATCTAGAATTTTCCGCACTTCCGGGTCTGCAAGTGATCCAGCCCAGACCTCATATTTTCTGTCATTAACCTCGTAGCTGATGACAAAATCGCCCGGGGGCTTGAAATCTTTCGCGTCTGGGTCGTTTTGAACGGCTTTCTCATAGTCTTGGAGATCGGCGAACGCCTCTGTGCAAAATCGTGGTTAGCTTATATGACACATATTGTCGCAAAGCTTAAACTCACCTTTCTGGACAAAAGGTTTCAAAGTATCGAGGAGATCAACAGCAGCTGTGTCACCGACCGACTTGAACTTCTCATCGTAGGAAATGTGGACATGAGGGCGCAAATCATGAGCCGCAAAGCGCAAACGGATAATCAAGCCTCTGTAACCGAAGATTTGCTCATCGTCGCCAAAGATAGGATAGGTGAATTGGGGGTGAAACGTGGAAAGTGTTTTCGGCTTCTTCTCGCCCGGTTGAATGACGGTAACATGGACCGCATCGTTGGCGTCGCAAGACCCTAAAGCGAATATTAATTAGTCTATAGCTTGGCGGCGTTGGATATCGGAAGACTATGAACTTACATCCAGCTTCGCTCGCCATTTTGATAGGATTGTGAAGTTTGAATGTCAAATCAGACAATGAAGTCTAAAGAGAGACGCGAATACGCGCCCCGGCGCGCATCAGTATTACCTAATCTGGATCTATGGCCCGTCACTACAGGCCATCAAAGATTCAATATCTCAATGAGGGAGTTCCCAAAGAAAAAAAAATACTTATATGGCTCCCGGTTTTACACATGTATTTTGGAAAGTTCTGATTGAGGACCGTTTACATATAATGATTAAGCTCCATATAGCCTAAAACCCAAGACTGGGAGAGTGAGCAGTGAACCCGTTCAGTTTAGTCTCACTTCAATGTCACTTCCATTAAAAGGAAAAGGTACCTGGGTCTATGGCATGGCATTACTGCACACAATCTGGCCATTTACGCTTACCTAGATGACCCTGGTCGTACTAGTAGTAATAACCCTCAATCCACTCATCTTATACGAGCCGACTGAGTTACCGAGAGGAGTAGATGCATCAGAGTATGATCCCTTCGTCAATGACTTGAGTGTTTTTATTTCGTTACATGTCTGTCTTATTTAGCTTTGAAACTACATTTTGAAGCAGTGGCATTCTTTGAAGAAGTTAAGCCACGCCATTGAACGTATAAGGTAGCGCTTAATATACGATATGTAAAATCCAAAGAGCGTTACTAAACAAACTCATTTAAACCACATCAGGTAAGATCAGATTCACACCAAGCTCACGCCTCCAAATTCATAGCCTCCTGGGCCTCCAATAGCTTCAAATAAACACCCGCAGCATTCCACCGTACATCAATATCCGTGAACCCCTCACGTAGCCTCCTCGCCACCTCAAGGTCATGCGGTGCTTTACTGTTGGACCGCATATGGGCCCCACAGATGTGATAAGCAAAATACAGACCCCACGGGGACATATCCTCTGGATCCCGACCTAAGAAGCATTGACGCTCGATAAGATTTGCATTAATACGCTCCGTAACCTGTTGAAGTATAACCTTCGCTCGTTGTGAGCGAGGGCTGTCCATTTCTTCAACTGCATCGGATGATAGCCAAGGTGTATAAAGGGCGACTATGGCACTAGTTCAATGTTGGCATAAAAGTCTGTAACTGAGATAAGGGTGGATGTAGTACTAACCTGTACACGAACGTGATTTGATCATAGTCCGGACAGTCGATATTCAATGCAGCGGCTAGCATTGACTGCAGGGTACGATCGAGCTGTATCCAAACATCATCTTCGCTGGTAAAGTCTGTTGAAAGGTGATGGAGAACTTGGCCTAATAGCCTGGCAGCTTGACAGAGCAGAGCAAACTTGCTCATGTGTCCTGTCATTGGGGACGAGAGAGTCGAGAACCTATCGGGCTTGACAGTCTGATCAAAAGATAAGCAGCTAAAAGATAAAGGTCACGAATTGACGTACCCCCTGGTCCCATGCAGCATCGTCAGCCGGTAAATAATCATCCAATTTTGGATCTGCAGTTGCAAAGGGCCGTCCCGGGCAGCCGATGCTCACAAAGCTATTTTGTTATTAGTATAACAAAGGGCTCACGGTAGACAGCGACGAACCGGTCTAAAATGACAATAGCCCACCAGACTCTCCGTCGCTCTTCAACCTCCACCAAAGTAAGTACTCTTCTATTCGGCGCCGTGCGACTGACATTAATACCCAAGGCATGGGCATACCTCGCACAGGCCCCGATCGACAAGAACGCAGCCGGGTAGATCCCGTGTCCTAGTTCATAAAGAGCAATAAGAACTCCGGCTTGCAGTACTAAAATAGAGAAAGACTCTTCCACTTTTAGATAAAAATGTTTAGTTGAGTTATATAAGGCTGTCCGAGGACTACGAGAACCAGCCGGCGGGAAGGTAGTGATGAGTTTCAGTGCTAACAAAAGAAGAACAATATCAGGCCTTGAGCGGAATGCGGGCTGTAGGTATAAATCGTAGAATCGCTTCTTCGAGATGAAGGGCATCCACTGGTGAATATGCTTGAAAAACCGCATTGCCGTGAGCTGGATTTCATCTAAATCCCCTAGGAGTTGTAGAATATCCTGCGGGACTGTAGTCCCTGCCGTAGGTAAAGTTTCTAGTAAGCTGTGCTGTAGTAGAGCCGGATCAAGAAACAAGATGGTCGGGAAATCAATAGTCTGAATATCTGCCTGCTCATCCAGGGGAGAGGGGTACCATCCTCGCTCTGGGCTTGACGCGATGGCCGAGTGACTGAGTGGCTCTGGTCTCCAATATTCACAACTTCTATTACGCCTACGTTGCTCGGCGTTAGCCCTGCTGCTGTAATGTAATATTTGGTACTTACTTAGCGCAGAGGGAGCATCTAGGCAGTGCCTTGTCGCATTTCCTCTTGCTCGACCTGCAGGATTGGCAGGACTGCGGGGCTAGCTCGAGGCTAGATTCATGACCAGGGGTCTGCATGGTGCATGTGGAAGGTGGACGGAGTTCAGTTTCTGGCGGGCTTTAACGGCCGCAACAATGGCCGCAAGAATGGGAGACTATATGGGAAAAGGTAACCGCAGAATGCGGGATATAGATGCCAGGCAGAGATGATCGGATCATTGCGACCGCATCTGCGGCCGCTTATGCGGCCGCAAATGATGGCCTTGGGGGCCATGGACGGAGATACCGGAGGCCAAATTATACAAAATTGGACATATATATAAGTAGCAATTATTGTCGATACATTCAAGATATTATACCTTGATATTTGTTTGCGAGTCTCCATATCTTCTTCTTAATATGAGCTCGTCAAGCCCCTATGCTGCCGCGCATCTCGACCCTCAGGGTGCCGGAGATGCACGACCAACCGCCCTTCAAATCATACAAGATGAAGGAGTCGAAGGCAAGCTGGCCGGCAGGGTTATTGTCATCACTGGAGCCACATCAGGCATCGGTGTCGAGACAGCTCGTGCCTTATCGGCCACCGGGGCTACTCTGCTCCTCATAGCCCGCAACCGATCTAAGGCCGAGAAGAACCTCGCCGAGATTCTGGAACCCGACCGCGTCTCGCTGATCGACTTGGATCTGGACTCCTTTGCGAGTATTCGTGCCGGCGCCAAAGAGATTCTCGCCACGTCTAAGGGTCAGGTCAACATTCTTATCAACGGCGCGGGTGTTATGGGAGTCCAAAACCGCACACTCACTGAAGATGGCATTGAGGCGCAGTTCTCCGGAAACCATTTAGGATTCTTCCTCCTTTTTCAGCTTCTGAAGGAAGCTTTGTTGGCTAGCGTCACTCTAGAGCTTAATTCGCGAGTCGTGATCGTGTCTTCATCTGCCCACCGAGCTGGTATCCTTCCGAATAGCGACAACTACAACTTCGAAAAGAGTGAATATGACCATAAACTGGCATATAACAATTCTAAGCTAGCAGCGGTATATTCCGCCAACACCATCGAGCGGTTATATGGTGCCCAGGGACTACATGCTACCAGTCTCCACCCCGGCGCTATCAACACCGATATATCCCGTAATATGCCTCCAGAGTTCTTAGAGGGTCTTATGACAAACCCCTACGTTCTGAAAATCTTGAAGTCTTCCGAGCAGGGGGCAGCTACGACAGTGTGGGCGGCTGTAGGTAAGGAGTGGGAGGCAAAGGGTGGCAGGTATCTCGAGGACTGCAAGGAAGCAGATCGTGGTCAGGACGATGGCCAAGTCTTTGGCGCTGGATGGGTGAAACAAACGTATAATCTCGAGGAAGAGGATCGTCTCTGGAGGGATTCCCTTAAGATAGTCGGACTAGAGAGTGAAGCCTGAGCATTTTTCATGCGTTGATAGATGGTATTACCCCATCACTCGAGAGAGCTAGTATAGCAATGTGATCTTTGCACAATCGGACTTGATTTCAAAAATTGCAATGTCTTCTTTCATTTAAACAATGCTTCAATACACCATCCACCTAACTTGCCAAAACATCCTTGAACACATCTTGGTGCATCGCCTAAAAAAAAAAGATATTTGGAATGATATTTACAGGCTGTCTGTATGTTTGATTTCTATTTATACCCATGTATGCTGTTCCACAGCTTCTGATCTAGTTTCCATTTCCCGACTGATTTCTTCAGTTGGGGTATCATTTCCAAAGCTCGCCGGATCCCCATCGTACTTCCTATTCGTTCAAGGGTTTCAATAACCCAATCATGAACCTCATCAGGGGTCCCTGCCGCGCCTCCGGCAATTCCTAGTGGGAAAAGCAGCATAAAGGTACCATTCAACAGGGGTATATGTGATGGGTCTTCGGCAACTCCTTGCGCGGAGATAGCTTCCTGACTTGCAGAGCCGGCGCATATCTCAATTGCCATGCAAGCAATCGTGTGCAATGCTCGCTGCCGCTGAATCACGTTATTTGGTGTCGGTCGTATCATTTTCGAAACTTGGAATACGATGGTCTGGTTGACCAACAGTCGTGCCCAGCGGTAGTGGTTGAAAACTCTTGCAACCCACATGTCCTTGTAGACATGATACTGGCCACGGAAGGTGTACTCGTATGTATTGGATTCTTTCACAGCAAATGACCAGTCTACTGGAAGGCTGGTTTCCCACTCGCGGAGTTCATCTTCAAACAATAGTGCTGAGTCCACTACTGCTCTGGCGTCGGGATTTTGGTGATGCACATATGCATCGAACTTTGTAAATCTAACCAATATGTCAACGAGATCGACGCCTGGTAGGATCTCTGGCGGCGCAGATGATACGAGATTAGGCGACCAGCTCAGTAGATCTGGGGAGACAACCCTCTTGGAGAAATATCTGACAATTGAAACAAAGTAGAATTGTAAATGGGCTCGGTGGTCCAGGTTCTTAAGCGATAGCCGAAAGGCGGGTTGTTTAAGTAAGGCGGCTGCACCATCCAGATGCACTATCCAAGAGTCGAGCTGGCTTGGGGTACAGGTGACCATCTGCGCGGGTCAGTTATTGCGGTTATTAAAAACCTTAAACCCGAAGAGCATACCTCGTATAGACTCAGCATTACGATCAAGTGAAATGTTCTGTCGGGATTGGCCTGGGCGGGGTTCTCCACTATTTCTCGTACGGCCTTGATGACCATTGCATGTTTCTCTCGAGACAATATCCGCAGTTCTCTATCATTATTGACATTGGACAAGGCAGCAAGGCCAACCGAGACGACAGCATCTCGACTCGACTGATCGAGAGCAACTGATCCAACATGAGGAGACGGCTGCACAGTATCTGCATGCAAAGAGCGACCTGTTCTGTTGGTTATCCGTGTCACAAAACGGTTAACAAAGAATCTCAACCCCTGATCCTCCAATGGGATGGATAGCGGGGCAATAATTCTCGGTGTCAGGATTAGTTGGCCCCTGCTCCTGCAGACTAGTGCATTTGACAGCGAAGGATCAGCTCCCGAGCCGGGGGTGGATATATCAAATTCTAGAGCTGCACTATCCTCCAGTTTTCGACGGGCCTCGGTCTTCGCTTTTGCTTCTGCACTTCGTCGGGCCGCCTTGTCATTCTCATCACGGAACATAAAAGACGGCACGTCCCGATAACCGCCACATGGCTTGCCCGCTCTCCTGCATTGGGAACACACGGGCTCAAGTCGATCACACTAGACCATGTCAGGCTATAATTAGTCTGGTGCTGGGCCACGCCACTTGCCTTTATTCGTCTTTCCCGACAACTGGAGCAAGCTTTACTGGGACGACCGTAGAAAGGCATAATCCCTGAGTAAATGCGGGGTGTGTCATATTCGATTCTAAATAGGCAAAGAATTCGTGACAATCGGAGATGAGTCGATAAACTGGGGCTTAGGCTCCACTTTGGTATATGCTTGGCATCGGCCTTTCCTAATGGGGTATCTGTTTCATCGCTTACTCCGACACATGCATACACATCGGAATTTATGATTATGTGTTGTATATGCACACTCGGCTAGTTGCGCGTGATTCTTGAGACCAGCTCTCCTTCACCAGATGGGACTTCAACCCTTGGAGTTGTGGGAAAAGTTGGTTCAACAAATACAACCCTAACGGAATATGTATGTTGACAAATATGCGGAAAATTAAATACGGAAAATACGGAATCGACTGGCTAAACCAGGAAATGCACATGGCAAAAAGAACTCGGGCAGAGTCAGCGGATGAAAAAGCCCCTGTTGGGGCATCGAAACGCAGACATATTATACATGGCAAGCACCAAGTGCCTGACCCTCCACGTGATGGTGATGGTGATGGTGATGATGGGTATGGTGATGATGGCGAGGAGCTTCCTGTGACATATCAAGTGGTGTAGGGGGCGAAGTTGTCGATGCACTGGCTGAAGTTGTAGTAACACTTGATGACACAAATGTTTCGGTGCCCGAAGCAGTGGAGACAGCAGCAAAATCGGTGGGGGTTGATTGCGAAACAAGCGCACTTTTTCTAGATACGCTAGAAACCGTGGTCGTTGCGCTAGGAGCCGAGTCCAATGTAGTAGACACCCTTGCTGTGGAACTTGCCGTAGGTGAGGCAGATTTGGAGGAGACTGCAGCTACCACATCAGACTCGTCCATGTGATAGAGCAATGATCCCCAGCCCAACCCATCGTAATGGCCAGACCCTTCTCCCCAGGATCCAGCACCGCCCTCCGCACCACCGTAATACTCAAGAGAGTTGTTGAGGTACAGAGTGGTCCAAGGTGCGTCTACTCGCTTCGTCATGACATAGTGGTTGTAGAGAAGCTCCCAGGTAGGTCTAATGGCTCCACGAGAGGCACTACTGATCTCTGTGTGGCTCACTATGCCGTTCGTGTAATCAACGAAGGGCACGTCATTTCCAAGGTTGTATCGCGCGAAGTACTCCGTCCTAGGGCGACATGTGAGTAACTGGAAAAGTAGAAACGATTGAATAGTACTTACCCACGGAGAATTCGGCTATCATTATAGGCAAACAAATCCTCTCCTTGGTTCCAGGCCTGCTGCCCGATCACACCGAGAAGTTGTATGTCTAATGCTGAATGGCCCTGATCACGACCGGATTCTTGGCCTTGACCAAGTAAAGCCCCTGTACCAGGCTCTTCAACGATGTTGACGACAGCATTGTTGATAGCACCCGTTCCATCCCCAGACTTGAAGTAATCCACGGCGAAATCCCACACTGTTTGGTTTTCGGTTAGGACACCCATGGCCATCGCTGAAGCGACATTGCACAATTCCCAGTTGGCGAAGAAATGAAGAACATTATGCTCTGACGGCTCTTCATGGTTTAGCCATCTGTAATGCATCGGGATAAAGATATTATTGGCCATTTCCACAACAGCAGGGAGAACATCGTCCACGAAGGGCTGATAGTCGCGAAGGAGCTCGGCTGCGTTAGCGAGTTCGTACCCCTGCAGGCCAGCTGTGAGGTACTTGTCGTCGCCACCGTCAATTGCAGTGAGAGTGGTTGCCCATGAATGTAGGATATTGCTAGCGGCATCAGCGAAGCTTGTGTTTCGGGATATTTTCCAGCGTAGGCCTAGATTGAATGCTGCCGCGACATCATGCCAAAGGAGCTCAGCGTTCGCGGCATGGCCATCCCAGGTACCTCGATAGACAACGCTGACTGGGGAAGGGGTGTAGCTGGTGTCAGAGAACGAGAGACTGGTCAGGGTATTCCAAGAGGTAGTCCATGGATCCTGGTTGGCCTTGATCTTTTCCTGGGTGCGAGAGATATCACTATCGGAGACGAGCAGGCCAGGGTGCACAAAACTTGCTACAAGGGGGAGAAAGGGGATAACGAAAGAAAGGAAGGCGACCATTGCAAAGAGAAGGGCCACATATACGAATACAAATATGGGAAGTGAAAGGAATGAACAAGAACGAAACTGAAGTCAACGAATATCAATGAAAGATCGTTATTTCTGAAGTTAGATCAAACTGCGTGGGAAAAGTATACGAACCCGAGATCTAGCGCTCCGTTCTTAATCTAGTTAAAACAACTCATGTTTCAGTTATGCCCTAGCTTGGATAGCTGGATTTCCGGACAGCTTGTCTTGCGAAGAAAAATTAATCACTGCATGTTCCTTCTGTATATGTTTGGGGGGAGCTTAGGTGCCTGTTGATCAAATAACTGACGTTGGAAGTGAGTTCACATTCGCCTTATAAGACTCGGTAGGGTCTGCTGGACAAGAAACACCGAAGATTTCCCGAGTAATATTCAAATTCATCAGACCGGACCGGTTCGGAAGCGTCCCCTATCCTCAACGAGGTTGGAGTTTAACAATTTGATTTATCCGGCTCAAGATGACATCTACGGAGTATAGGGATATCAATTCTTTCTTGTAAAATAGCACTCCAGCGTCTTTTTTGGATGTTCTTTCCAGGTATATTTTCAGTCTGCAGAAGTTTTTTTTAAAATAAAGAGTTCTTTTCTTCTCGGCGTTATAGCTAGAAAGGTACCCATTACCTATACAACATAGAAGGAAGAGTAGCAGGCATCTCACTCTATAATATACGAAAGCGGTTAGAAGCATAAACCGTACTCCGTACAGAGCACTTTTCTATGGATAACCAGGGTTATTTTCTACTATTAAACGTTAATTGTCCCCAGAACAGTTTCCAGTGGCATTGTTTTGAGGCTATTCTGTTTTCCCTCATACTAACGACTATCATCCATATACGAGCTATGTTCCTTGAGAGCAAAAGAGTGTAGAGGCTCATGAGTAGGGCCCCAACGTAAGCTGCTGAGGTCAGTTGCCTGTTATGTTACTTGGCAGAGACCAGCCTTACCAAAAGTCAATTCCTATTTGCAAAGAAGAAAAAATCTTTGGGCGAAGGTACCCTTTGTATTGCATCGACAGCTACGGAGTACGTTCATTCTACAAAGTTGAATCTAAGAGCTCGCAAGAATCGGCCCTCGGGGAGACTGAGTGCCGATGACTGGGGCTTAGACTCTCTCCACTTTGGCAGGTGCTTGGCATCGTCCTTTCCTAATTGGGTATCCGTTTCATCAATTTAGTCTATAAACATACTCAAAACATAGTACAACTTATATCTAAGTCGCTAAAATCCCCACTAGTTCACACGGGAGCCTGATTACCCGAAACATTCGGCAGTCAAATTGGCCCGCAGTGTTCATGGCGCCGAGAGCCGAGAGTTAAGAGTCAAACGCCATACAGTTGAGAGGTCCAGCGCTTACCAGAGAAACCTCCCTGTTGAATTGAAAGTCTACCAGCTCTCACTTTGACTCGATTGCTCTCTCACAATTTCTTACAATTCTTCCAAAGAGAACCCATTAAGAGACAGAAGATTTCACTTTCAAGCATCCCAGACGTGGGTGTCTGGATCAAACATCTACAATGTCTCTCATTGAACGTGCGAGCAGCGAGAGGACAACTCCCTTTTATCTTTATAACCCCTCCCTGGCAGTGGCAATTGTTGCCGCTGTCTTGTACACCCTTGCTTTTCTGTTGACGACTATCCAATGGATTCGGTACAGGGCTTGGGTCTGGAGCATTATGGTGATATCAGCTGCCAGTACGTACGCATTTGGTCTGTCATCCACTTAAGCTAACCCCCAACTCAGTGGAAGCAGTCGGCTACATTGGACGATGTGTCTCGGTCCAAAATACATTCGAGAGACCCGTTTATGTGCTTCAATTTTCCCTCGTCATCCTTGCACCCGTCCTCATGGCAGCGTGTTGCTACATCATCTTCGGTCGTATTCTATTCCTTGTTGTTCCCCAAGAGGCACGTACGCTTCGACTATGCTGGGTGCCTCCCCGATTCATTACACCGATCTTCGTCGGGTGTGATATCATTGCCCTGCTCCTCCAGCTTGGCGGTGCGGTGATGATCTCTGCTGTCGATGCCACAGATAAGGATGCGAAAAACAAGCTCAACACGGGAAAACACGTTGCCCAAGTAGGTGTTATTATCCAGCTTGTTGCCTTTGGCATGTTTGCAGTTGCTGCTGTTCGTTTCAACTTCACCTCCAAGCGCTTCACTGGGTCTCTGAGTGAGAGATATGAGAATGTTGGAGAGAAGGAATACATTATTGGTGGCGTTGTCAAGGACAAGAACTGGCCTACTCTGTTGCGAGTTGTCAATTTCACTACGATTTTGATCCTTGTCAGTTCATCACCTTCAGTCGCTGTTCAGTCGCTGACTTGTACCAGGTTCGGTCTATTTATCGACTCGTGGAATTCACCGAAGGCAAAGAGGGATATTTGAGCACACATGAGTGGCCCTTGTATGTCTTTGATGCTCTGTGTATCTATCCATGTGTCGCCCTTTTCGTCTATTGGCACCCAGCAAGATACTTGCCGTACTTGGGCTTTCGACTGCCAAAGGGTGCGCACAGTAGCGGTGACTCGGAGATTGGGATGCTATAAGCATAGCAAGGTGGATCAACCTGCGATCTGTGATCTTTGCATATTCTAGTGGAGCGTGGCGGCTGCTGTGTTCTTTTCATCAGCATGGAGTATCAATGTGCAAACGTGGGCGGTGGCTTTGCGTGGCTGGAATAATTCATAATGTTAAAATAATAACCCGATAATTGTTGGCTATAGACATAAATTAAAGTAATATAGACTCGAAAAAAAAGGACAAATACAAAGATATCGATTCAAGCAAGGACGGTTGCACTCGTGTATAGCCTGGCAAGGCCAGATAACGAGGGAGCAGACATAATGTTTGATAACACGTTCTAGAATCAGCCTTAGGCCCTATATGCATACCTTTTAAGGGCCTTATCAAATAAAATGCCTTTTAAATACCCATACGTTGTCCTGCATACTTCCCCCTAGTATGTTTTGAAAGCGGTACCTGAGCTACGTGGGTCCCCGACCTGGATCCTTCCACCACCTTGGCCTCTTTACGCAACCACACTCTCTCTCCAGACTCCCTCTGGACCCTCTCTCCAATTCTCCTCACCATGATAGAAAGTCTATAGAGTGAACTGCGAGATCATCATGGAGGGACTATTCACTCTGCTCGCCCTGAGCATTGTGATGGCAATTACGTGAGCTACCCTGTGTTTGGAAACCTAAGGTTCAATTGAATTCAAGCTAATGCTCCGAATTATTGGCAGATCCTTTGTCGTCGGCTCATTACCTTTAGCTTTTACACTGTCCCCCTCTCAACTCCGCTTAATATCGTCTATTGGTATGGGCGTTCTGGTGGGGACATCGTTGATCGTCATTATCCCCGAGGGCATTGAAACCCTCTACAGCGCAAACTCCCTCACTCGCAAGCAACACAGTACACGGTCTACCGCTATCGAATGGCAAAATCAAACCCCGCCCGTTGCAGCTACTTTTGCCCCCAACGGAGACAGCGCCTCAAACCTACCATCCGATGCCCCTGTCCCGGGTCTCCTCTCGGAAAGAAATCACCTCTTCGAGTCGCAAACACTTTATATCCGAAGCGAGGATTCGGCGGGTGAAACAACGGGCAAGGAAACAATTCACGGAGAGGAGGAGAGTTCCCCGCATGCGTGGGTTGGAATCGCCCTTGTCAGTGGTTTCATTTTGATGTATCTCGTCGATAAACTGCCCGAATTTGCTGCGCCCACTAAGAACGATCGCACACCTTACCATATCTCTTTGGATAACCTTGGGTCCGGGTTGCGGCGAGGTTCCTCCCCGTCGCGTGAGGGTGGACTCCTTGATGCGAACCACGCGTCCAGGCGTGGCCACAGTTTTGCCACCACGACCGGCCTCGTGATCCATGCCGCGGCGGATGGTATTGCTCTAGGCGCTTCCAGCTCGGATGCCGGGCTCAGTTTTATTATTTTCTTGGCAATAATGGTGCACAAGGCTCCTGCATCTTTCGGATTGACATCCGTCCTGCTCAAACAAGGGCTGTCAAGTCGCACCGCGAGAGCGCATTTGCTAGTCTTCAGTCTGGCAGCTCCTTTTGGTGCCTTGGCTACTTTCCTCTTTGTACAGATGATGGGATCTTCCAGTGCCGATGAGGCAGGCACTCACTGGCGCACTGGAATGCTACTGCTTTTCTCCGGTGGTACCTTTTTGTGAGTCTTCTTTCGTGGAATATATTAACATTTTCTTATTAATCTATGTAGGTATGTTGCAATGCACACCATGCAAGAAAATGGCCCGGGCTCGTCCCCGCGCGAACTTCCTATCAACGGATATGGTGACCGAGACCAGAATGGATCGGACAAGTCCATGAGAGACTTGATTGCATCTGTTTTGGGCATGATCTTGCCGCTATTCTTGCAGATTGGACATGCTCACTGAGCAAGTACCTTGTGTATTCCTCAGGGTTACGCCGTAGTGCTTTTACATTTTCGCTTTTCAGCTAGATTTTGGAGGGCTTTATACCCATAGCAAGATACGGTTTGGAGATGGATTGCTGTAGCTGAGATAAATTGAGAAAGGGAGGATATGTTTGAATAGATTTCCCTGTATAACTGTTGGGTGTTATCTTGTCATAATTGCATGGTATTTCACTATCTCACGATCACATCGACGTAGCGTCACTGTGCCCTATTTAAAGCCTGACAGGTCCTCCCGATGTCTGACTTCTCCAGGGGGTAGTTTTATCTTTTCAGGATGTCGGTGATGACAATATTCGTCAGTTTCGTCAGTCTGAATCATCCCGTTGTTCATAAGTTCCATGGTCCAACTCCGATAGCCGCATACCAACCCAAAGCCTTGGATCTATACATTTGTCGTGAGTATCATTGGGATCGTGAGCATCGTGAATACCAGGTTGCCTTTTACAGTTCACGATATTCAGCTCTAGAGACCAATGACTCGGTCTCGGACCAAACCACCTTTAAGTTTACATCCTCGACGCCTCCCCGTTGCCTCCTTTGCCATGAACCCCCAAAAGGAAATATTAGGCAAATCAGAAGGCAAAAAAGATGCAGAGAAAAAGACATGATCTGTGCCGGATGCATAAGATCCATATAATTCTCATCTGATTAGTCCCGGGGAGACCATGCTTTGTCAGGAATCACGACACCTCCGCTTCAAATGTCCCTTTTCCTCATCGCCCTTTTTTTTCATTGGAAGTTGATTTCGGACTCTGATTGAATGAAAAGAATTAGAAAAAAACTAATATATTCGAAAAAAAAGAAAAAAACGAGCGGCCTCGATACCTTCGGAGGATTATTGGTCTCACCTCCCTCCTTCCCTCGGCCGTTCGCCAGCCTCTCCTCATACCCCCGAACTTCAATACTCTCGTCTCCCTACTCGCTCATAACTATATGCTGGCCGTGAACTATTGGAGGTTCAGTGCGTCACATCGATAAATACAACCCGGACAAGTGGGAGGATCATACTCGACTGTGGCGGTCTCCCCCCTGTTCTGTCGCCATGGACTCCCATCGGGCATCATTCAGCGACGTGAGAGATGGGTCGAATGCGCACACATCAGACCAGTTAGACAGTCATAACCAACCATCGCACGACCCAGTCACAAATTTTTCCAGCACCCCATCCAGATCACTCAGCAATAAGACAACCGTCACTCCTTTACCCGCCAACCTACTTCCTTCAGCGCCCGCATCACCCCCGACACCCGCACCCAGCCCTACCCCCCATCAGCGACCACCAACTTGGCACTCAACCGACGATGAAGAAACCAGCTTTTTGTTAAACCTTCGAATTCACTTCAGCACTCTATCCAACGCCCGAAAACAGAAACTCCTGGAGGGTCTTCTGGACGTATGCGACAGCCAGCAGCTGAGCTTTGTGTCGAGTTACGTCGGTCCTCGATTGAGGAAAGACCCATTTCAGGTTTTTCCTAATGAGCTATGCTTAAGAGTGAGCCATTTGGCCGAGTCTCTGTCTACTTCTGTACTAATGTTGAGTCTGCTTAGGTTCTCTCCTTCATCGACGACCCCAAGACACTCGCCCGAGCTTCACAAGTATCACGGCGTTGGCGAGAACTACTAAATGATGACATCACATGGAAAAACCTTTGCGAGAAACATGCCTATTCGGTGCGGCGGGTGCTGGAAGATGAAGGGGACCTCGTCGACCCTTTCACCGCCCATCCCGTAGACTCGGCCTCTGGCGCACGCACCTTCGGCGGGTTGCAGCGGCGCTTGACCGCGTCAAATGGCCACGCCACCGAGAGCGCACCGGACCTTCCCCGCACGCTTTCTGGAGAATGGTTGCCTCCGACAAGCTTCTCCCGAAGACGTCGGACCCGGCCCGTTTCGTACCGTTCACAGTTCAAGCAAAAATACATGGTTGAGTCGGCGTGGACCAAAGGTGGTCGCTGCACCCAGCGCCATATCACCCCTGACCAGGGTGTGGTGACAAGTCTTCATCTCACTCCGAAATACATTGTCGTCGCGCTAGATAATGCGAAGATCCACGTCTACGATACTAACGGTGACAACCAAAAGACGCTTCAAGGCCATGTTATGGGAGTATGGGCGATGGTCCCGTGGGATGACATTTTGGTCAGCGGAGGCTGCGATCGCGAAGTTCGAGTATGGAACATGGCTACTGGGTAGGACAGAACCCCCACGACTTGCACGAACGAAAACTAACGTATGATAGGGCGGGGATCCATCTCCTTCGGGGCCACACATCAACCGTCCGTTGTCTGAAGATGTCGGATCGGAATACAGCCATCTCAGGATCCAGAGACACCACCCTTCGGATATGGGATCTGGCTACAGGGACATGTCGCAACGTCCTCGTCGGACATCAAGCCAGCGTGCGGTGTCTAGCCATTCATGGTGATCTGGTTGTGTCGGGCAGTTATGATACGACTGCGCGGATATGGAGCATATCTCAAGGACGCTGTCTTCGCACGCTTTCAGGACATTTCAGCCAAATATACGCTATTGCCTTTGATGGCCGGCGGATCGCGACGGGAAGTTTAGATACTAGCGTCCGGATCTGGGACCCGCATTCTGGGCAATGCCATGCAATTTTACAAGGTCATACATCTTTGGTTGGTCAGCTACAAATGCGGGACGACACGCTAGTCACAGGTGGCTCGGACGGCTCTGTCCGCGTTTGGTCACTGACCAAGATGGCGCCGATTCACCGTCTTGCGGCGCACGATAACAGTGTCACCAGTCTTCAGTTTGATAAGACCCGCATTGTTAGTGGTGGCAGCGATGGCCGTGTCAAGGTTTGGAACCTACAGACAGGGCAGCTGTTGCGGGAGCTTTCTACTCCGGCCGAGGCGGTTTGGAGGGTTGCTTTTGAGGACGAAAAAGCAGTAATTATGGCGAGCCGGTCTAATCGCACGGTTATGGAGGTACGTGCCATGTTTCCGTTTGGTGGAAAATATGTTTTCTAATATATCTCGCAGGTCTGGTCTTTCTCTCCACCGCCAGAAGATTACGATGATACAGCCATTGGGAGTGCTTTAAGCACTCCAGGCATAAGCTCTGTTGATGACCGCGAGCTGGCCGTTCCAACTCGGCGTCGAACTCTCTGTTCCGTTCCCCCACCACAGATCCCATTAGGCACTGATAGTGATGCACTTATGCCAGACGCACCCTCCTCCTAATCTCTTAGCATCTACTGGTCTGAACTGGTCCAAACGTGTTTTGATATCCTGCCATCTAACGATTACGCATATCCATTTATTTTTGTCATATTTATCTCCCCATCCTTTTTGAGCGCGGTTTGTTTTTGTCAACAGTGGGTGCTTTGCCTTCAGAATGAGCTGCCGGCGTTCCTCCCTAGGTGTTTCTAGAGCACCAAGCGGTTGCATATTTGGTGTTGCAAATCTGTTTGGTTACTGTGTCTTGGTTCTCTATGCAGATTTAGTGAAGTTGCCATACTGGAGTTGTGAGATCTTTTTTATTCCTTTCTTTTTTACCTTGTTCTTATTTCATATCGGCCATTTCGGAGTGTTTTATGGTTGAGTACATGATACCTTTTTTGGGAACCCTTGGGATGAGATTTATATACCATCTAGTTTGATGAAATCTATATCATTTACATTCCCAATTGGCCAGCTTGTCGGTTTTGACCTCCTGAGGTAGGATCTCGGGGTTATTATATAATTACTAAGCGGGTTACTCGGTCTGGAGAATGTCCCGTATGGAACTTTGACGTCTCTTAGTTTGTAGGCTTAACATTCACGCGAAAGACTTCAACGCGGGCATTGATCGCTGAAATTACACGAGATCTTTGCTTTAGAAATTCCATTCGCACATTCTTTAAGATGTGTATTTGCTTCGTTTGGACTAGGCAGTCGAGTTGATCCAGTTACAACCGATGACACACGGCCGTCCTTTACCTTTGTGGAACCCAGATCGAGTCCGACCTCTCTGTAACTCGCAACCCCCTTTGCGGTTTCCGTCGAAGTACCTGCAAGTCCTAAAGGTTCCTCAGACGACTGCCTGCGGGTGAACAATGGTCTATGGGGGAAAACCAAGTACCGGATGTTACCTGTGTCGCAAGCGGAAGATAAAGGTATGTCCGAGCTTCAATCTTGGTTTTTCGATTTACCCCGCCAATGAAACTGTATTATGCCTATAATATGTAGCCTTACTTGCATTCGTTAAAAGGCCAAATGCTAAATTTCCTCCCTTCAAGTGTGATGAAGCACGCCCAGAGTGCCGGAACTGCATTATCTATGGCCGACCATGTCCAGGATACCGGCCGGATGCTGTCTTCCGCAACGAGACCAGGAAAGTCGAGCGGCTGATGAAGACCAGTGCCAGCGTAAATTCCCACAGCAATACCGACAGCCAAGACAGCTCCTCGACCTCGGACTCATCTCTATCCGCCGTCTCGCGCCGCCGACGCGCAGGCCCACATGCGAAACACCATGACAAAGCTGCCCTGACACTATACTCGCCCGCTGACTCCAGCTGGGAACAAAGAGCACTGTGCTACTTTTTCGACCAGTTTACCATAAAAGCAGATTCTGAGGATGGCGGACATCTCGAATATGTGCCCCCGCTGTACGCGCGTGAGCTCGGTCGCCAAAGCAGCGAATCGCCGTCTTCCTGTTTGCGCTGGGCGGTCGAGGCTACGGCGCTGATGACTCTCGCTAATGCTAAGAATGCGCCATCTCTCATGAACAAGGCGCGGCAGGGCTATGGGCGGGCCTTGCGGGGTTTACAGGAGGCATTGGCGTCGCCGACTAATGCGGTTAAAGACGAGACGTTTGCTTCGGTCGTTTTGCTTTCGCTATATGAGGATATCTCGGGCGAGCGGAACGGGATGTTCAGCTCGCATACGGCTGGTTTTGAGTTTTTGACGAAACTTCGTGGAAACACGCTGGTTGATCATCCGCATGGTCGAGATATGCTTACTTTTGCGTATGCCCACACGGTAGGTTTGTCGTAAGGTTCTGACATCGGGACCTGGCATATATGCCTGAATATCGATCCAAGGCTGACCATTTTATAGTATGTTGAAATCCTCGCACTGGGAGACAAGCCTCACTTCGACATCGATTGGATCCTCGGCATGCTAGACATCAACAAACCAACCGAGCGCTTACTGCTCACCGCCTCAAAGCTCTGCCAATTATTCCTATGCATGAGCACCTCGCCAAAACCCCCGGACCAAGCTACAATCGAATCATGGATAAGAGCCGGCTGCGAGTACGACATCGAACTCTCCCAGTGGACAGAGACCCTTCCAGACCGCTGGCTCCCACTAGAGGTCTACTCATCACAGGGCGAGACCCTCCTGACTTACAACCGCATCACCAACGCCGTAGTCTGGAATTACTACCGTGCAGTGCGCATAATGGTGCAGCAACTTCTCCTCAGCCTAAATGCTACACTTACCTCCATCAAAGCGGCCAATAAGCAATTCTCCAGTTCCCGGCATATCAGCAGTTCTGAACCAGAGTTTGAGACCGCTCTCGACGAGCCAACTCTGAAAGCCACCATCCGCGAATTGACCACAGACGCCTGCCGCAGCATCCCCTTCGCGCTGGCTGATGTCGACTCCCTCGGTCGCCCGAATAAATCAGATAGCCCGTGGCAAATGCGCGCGGCGCAGGGTTACGGATTGCTATGGCCCCTCTGGTATATTCTCTCCTCCGGTATGCCGACTCCGGCGCAGGCAGATCTGATCCGTACTGTGCTGTCGCGTGTTGGGTCTACGCTGGGCATTAAATTGGCACTGGTGCTTGCCAGTGAGGTGGAGCAGAGAGCAGGATGATGCGCAAAGCCAATTTTTTTTGATCGAAACTTACCACGGGTCTCGTGCAATTTTGGTAACCAAACTTGATGTATGAGCTTTTGGGGTGCCCATTGTGCCGGATCTGAGGGCTACTCTGTGAGAGGTGTGCCAATTTCACTTGGCGTCGATGAGTCGCTCAATGGGCTACTGGCAGGACTTATGGTAAGAGAAACAAGGCGCCAGCTTCAGTCATTTAAGACTATGGTAGACAAACGCATAATGGTGCCAGACCAGCACCCAGACCATCTACAATACGGCTAGGTAGACTTCAGGTCAATCTGTGGATATCTCAGAATCAATAAAAAACACTAGAACCCCTGAGTGAGTTCACTCCACCGCAAAGACGTTCTCCTCTTCGGACCCCTCGTCGTCCGACTCCGGCAAGAATCCTTTCTTGCGCAGTGCTCCCTTCATACGACCGTAGTCTTCTGTGACGCGCACAATGATGTCTGCAAGATCGTTGTAGGTATCAAGGGCATAGACTTTGTCCTTCATACGGTACAACTTTGGGTCTTCAAGGGGTGAGTTGTACCAGGTCGCATTGAACGGGGGCCCTCCGTTCTTGAGCTGAGGAGGTGCGTCCTTAGTGGCGGCGCCCTCACTGGTCTTTATAGGGCCAACCTCTGACTTGCGGCGCTTAGGCGTGTCCTTTGTGATACCCTCGCTGGCCTTTGCGCGACCAAGCTCTGACTCGCGGCGCCTAGCGGGTTGCTCTTGGTCTGCATCTTCCGGGGTAGTCCCAGGACGTTTCCGACTGGTAGTTGGCTTCGCAGACTTCCGGGCAGCATCTGTATCCTTTGCGCCATAGTATGTTTGAAGCAATGGACTCGACGGCTGCCGTTCAATCACAGCCGCAATAACCCACGAAGGCACATTCGGAAACAGATCAGGACCTGTTCCGTACGTCAGTTTTCATCGTATCATTCTAGTAAAAGAGGAAGACGTACGGAAAGAACATTTGTGTCCTCCTCCTATAAAGGTGCAATTAGCACACGCCCAGTCCCATTGAGCCTGGTTCTTCGCGAAAACAATCCGACAATGCTCGAATGTTACTTTGCCTTTGGCGCAGGCGGTACATTTCTGATCAGCTGGAGCTTCAACGCCACACAACTGTCCCTGCGCTGCACGTCGAGCAACTGCGGACCTCGCTGGCCTGCGTACGCCTTTTCCCCAATCGAGTTCGGTCCGCTTGGGGTGCATATCACGGAACTTCTTTTCGAATGCGGTCATGAAATTGCGTAGAAGGGGTAATCCGGTGGTGTCAAGACCCGGAAAGGAGGCTTGATAATAAATCACATTAGCGAATTTATATTGTAGAGAATAATGAATATTCTAACACTTACGGTCTTCGACTTGTGCTTTCATGATAGCCTCGAGTTCGGCGGTCGTACGGTCCCGAATGGATGGGCCGGGGTCTTGCTTATCAGCAGAAGACTTCGTACGACTCGCAACACCGACTCGAACATGAGTCCCATCTTCGTCCTTTCGGTATGGGATGTCAACTGCATCGTCATCACTGCTATCAGAGTCAACGTGTTGTAGAAAATCGGGGTCGTTGGGACTAGGCGATCTCTCTGATTCATCTTGTATTAAATGAGGATCATCGAAGTCATTTAAGATTGCCGCGGCAAGACCGTGTGCGGCCGGAGAGCTGTGAGGAATGGAGCGAGTCAAGCGAGGCATGGTTAATATCTCTGGTAGAACGAGAGTGTAGAAGGATGTTAAAGAGTTCGAGTTCTTTGTGGACGGGAAACTAAATCTTCTTGGTGCCGTACGGCCTGCATATTATCCTTGCACGCGAGTCAAAGACATCTTGATATCTTTGTTGTCACTCCAGTGCTATTTATGTGACATGGCACTTCATACTCCTTAGGTATCTCTGCTGTTCTTTTGTGTGAAATGCGTTCTTTCCGCAACAACACATGATACATCACATTGTCCCAACTGACGACTTCTAACACATGTATCAACATTGACCTCAACCCTGTTAGCAAATTTATGTACTTGCAGAGAATCGATACAATACTCACTGTCCTCAACCTGGTCTATCATTGCAGCTGTAATTTTGGCAGCTGTGCGAAGCCTCACGGATGGGCCAGGAGATAGCTCCGTCAGCCCACTGTTTGGGGCGCGAGTTGAGCATATGACTGTCGTCTAAGGTGAGCTCAAATGTGTCGAAATGTGTCGAGTTTTGTCTGTTGGAAATCCATTGTCGTTGTTTGGGTAAACAACCAAGCTCGAATCCATACCGATACACCCCCGTTACACGCTCCAAGAGAAGGGGAAACAATGCACAAGGGCATTCAAGTCAGAAAGGCGACCACCGACAACTCCGCACTCCCTAATAGCAGACGCACAGCTATCACGGAAATACCGACAGCACCGTGCCATGCTGCAACCGACTCCTCATCGTCAACGAATCGGCACCTAATCGACGCCTCGTCCCATTCCTCCCCAAGGCTCGTAGAACTCATCAAAAGAACTCGGCATGCTCTCGTCGTAATCTCTGATCAGGTCGCAAATCCGAGAAAGAAAGGTCCGCTGCCTCCTTTGGAACCAGAGTGCAGTGTCGAGGCTCAGTGACATCACAAGTCCTGTGAATGATCTCGCAAAGAGAACGCCCGGCCGGCCAGTATCAGGATCTGGGCGGATATGACGGTACCCGGTAGGCATCCGTGCTTTGGCTTCCTGATAGCATCGTTCATAGGCGAGCATAGTCTCCTAAGGTGGTAGGGTTAGTAAATATATATATCTGCGCACACAAAGTCATTGTACTCACCTCGGTAGCGCGACGAGCATCAATACACCATACCTGCCTGTGATCTGTGACCGCAGCGATAAAGTCGCGGATCAGAGAATACATACTAAGAAATGGGAGCATTATTAGCACCTCGACTCCGAATCGTGGGGATCCAAAAACGACCCACAGGAGCAATGAATGCGGGTTCCAGTAAGCTTGTGTAGGTGACGATGGTTCTTAACAATGCTCTCGAAGCTGGAAACAATATCGCGGACCAGGGCCGAAACGATGTCGACCAAGTCCTGAGGATACAGGAAAGTAGACCTCGTTTCCATGGAACGCGGACCCCCTTAAGTCGTCACTTCATACTTACTTAGTAGTAAACACTTGGGTCGAAACTTTGTCGAATGGGGAACCTATCAAAAGGGTCCAATAATTCTGGGTTCCCCAGGACCATGGCACGGAAAGAGAAACTAGAGGATCCCCATCCAATCCCGTCTCCAGGATTTAAATGTATATGTTTCATATATATAGTGCTTTGGATTTATATAACTTGAGAGGGCGGAAAGAGAAAGGTAGGAATCTGTATTGCCTACCAACTGAGGCTAAATAGCCTATAAGAGCCTATAAAAGCCCAACAAACAAGGCATCTGTCTCGATAATATGTAGATATATTGATTCAGACACAGTTTAACAGGTATACTGCATTCCCCAGCCATAAAGGACTTTATCTCAATGTCAATATTTGATGTGAAAGCATTCTCTTTCACTTCTCTTCTCACTTTTTCTTACTTCTTTATTACAAGTAAACTAAACATTACAAAAAGACAACCTGTCTCTGGATATGACATGTCATTGGAAAGAAAAAGAGCGTAGTTTTCAATTCGTGTGTCTATTTCCTTGAGAGCGAGCTTCATCTCACTCTTCCCTTCAACTGATATTCTCCTTGTCTAATTGGGCATCCTGAGCCAGCCAAGATATACAGGCTTCGTGTTGGTCGCGTCCGATCTGTCCAATGGAGGTTTTGAATGCTTGATAGTCAGGTCATGCTTGACCTTATAGTGTCTTCGTAGGGTCCCTAGCTTGAGATATCAGTATCCCAGGTGCTGTATGCCTCAGGCCAGAAACTAACCGTGCTCAGGTGTAAGCTTTGATAAGGTGTCCACTGTTTCATAATTTTATTAAGAAGCTTGATTGCATTAGAGCCGATTGCATTAAAGCTCTCTAATTACCTATGTAGGTAATTATGCAGGAAGTCCGGCTAAGTCGGCTTCTGTACTCCATAGTATACTTTTGTACTCCGCACATACTTGGGTAGTACTGGGCTATCATTGACGTCATATAAAATCATATAAAACCATGTAAAATCGTAGTGAATATCTCGAATATTAGTCGATTTGCAAGAATACAAATTATATAGACAATTAATAAGTAAAATTCAAAGAATCTAAATTAATAAGAGTGTAGGGAGGAGATACTATCTAGGTAGTACCGTTCAAAAGGTCCGGGAAGTGCGGAGAGATAAGCCCAGTCCGGCCACTGACGACATCGGTCTCTGGGCTCTTCCAAGGTACAATCTTGCCTAATCTTGCTTTTGCTTTGCTTTTTATTGATCTTACACACTCTCCCCTCTTCCAAATATTTACAGATACATACAATATGGCTACACAGGAACGCAAACTTCCCCTTGGGAAGATCGAGCCCAACTCACTCAAGTACTTCCTCAGCTGTGGCTTTGGTGGAATCATTGGTATGTCCAAGCTTCCCCCATCTCACAAGGCACACACTAACAATATTATCCAGCTTGTGGTAAGTAAAATTTCTCCATAATACAACTAACAACCTCAATTGACACCCAATTCCACAAAGGACCAACCCATACAGCCGTGACACCCCTCGATCTCGTGAAGTGCCGTCGCCAGGTTGACCCAAAGATCTACACTTCCAACGTACAAGCATGGCGGACAATTTTCTCCAAAGAAGGCCTGCGCGGCGTCTTCTTCGGCTGGTCCCCCACCTTCCTGGGCTACTCTTTCCAGGGTGCCGGAAAGTACGGTCTGTACGAGTACTTCAAGCACTTGTACGGAAACCAGTTGTTCCCGGAGTCCAATCGCACCCTGGTCTTCCTCGGTGCTAGTGCCTCTGCTGAGTTCTTTGCTGATATGGCCCTGTGTCCCATGGAGGCTATCAAGGTCCGCATGCAGACCACCCTGCCGCCATACGCTTCCACTATGCGCGAGGGCTGGGGCAAGATCGTTGCCAAGGAGGGCTTTGGTGGTTTGTACAAGGGATTGTACCCTCTGTGGGCCAGACAGATCCCTTATACCATGACCAAGTTTGCCACCTTTGAGGAGACCGTCAAGATCATCTACCGCACTATGGGTAAACCCAAGGAGGAGTACGGTCAATTGACACAGACTGGTGTCAGCTTCTTGGGTGGTTACATTGCTGGAATTTTCTGTGCTATTGTTAGCCACCCGGCAGATGTCATGGTCAGCAAATTAAATGCTGATCGTAAAGGTGAGCTTTTTCCTTCTTTCGGCTGCAGTTCTTGATGCATGCATGCTAACCGCCCGTTTGTAGCCGGTGAAGGTGCGGTGACGGCTGTATCCCGGATCTACGGGAACATTGGCTTCTCTGGCCTATGGAATGGTCTTCCTGTTCGGATTGTGATGCTGGGCACTTTGACCGGTTTCCAATGGCTCATGTAAGTGTTTGTTCCATCCCGATTTGCATGTACAGCGACACTAACATTCTCCAGTTATGACTCTTTCAAAGTGTTCCTTGGTCTTCCCACCACTGGAGGTCATTAGATAGCCATGATTATTGGGGGGTTATCATATTTTTAGAGCAATTGTACATAGCTAGGAGTTAAATGGATAAATATTCGTTAAACAATATTGTGTAGACCGCCTTTGATATCGGGGCAGAATAATGTTGGAGGTCATCGCATTGTTGCCGACAACGTTTGGTACCTCTCAATAGAGTCACCATTTCCGTCAATCGACTCACCCTCGTTACCAACGACTAATCCACAACTAATCGAAGCTAAATATACTATATCCAACCGTCTACCATCCAATCCTTTACTCCTTCTTCTTCCTCTATTTCACCACCCCCTTCGCATCGTGCTTGGTGTCAGCTCCAACCAAGGATCCCAACGAAATACGGCCGTGTCCAACAATCCAGCCCGGTCATCGCCAATTAACACACAAATACAAACCTTCTCCCTCTTCATCAAAAAATGGAAGCCTCACGCCAACCCTCCTCCATCCCACCAGCCAATCCCCCAAGCGTGGAGATCGCCTACAAACGCAAGTGCATAGCACTAAAGAAACGCCTCGCAGAAGTCGAAGCCGAAAATGAAATCATGCGCACCCGCAACCGTCGCGGCACCCAATACATCCAGAAAATGCGTCTGGAAACCTGCATGCTCCTCGAGCGTCTAACAAAAGTCACCGGCATGGCCGACGAGGCGAAGACCGGCGCCGCAAACCCGGAACTACGTGCCCGCGCCGCAGCAATGATGAATTCCGGCCAGGGTAGTGCTGGTGTACTTCTAGAAGATGATACCGAGGGTAGCTCTGATGAGCAGCCACGCACAGTACGTATTCATACAAATTCACCTCCACCATCTTGTCCGCAAGATCCAAAAGCTAACGTGTTTTGTTTTTTATATTGTATAGCCCGAGGAACGTCCGCTACGCGTTAAGCGTTCCCGTAAGTCCAATGCCACCGGCATCGATGGCCAGGATGATGATCTCCCCGCTCAAGATGGACAACCCGAATCTGCGGATCCGGCTGGTGCGGCCCTGCCCCGTCTCGCGCCGGCTCCCACACAGGAGTCTCTTACTCATTCCTTCCGTGTGCAGACGGGTAGTGGTGGCTCTGCGGATCAGACTCCTGCTGCTGCGGAGGCTGGTCCTGAAGCTGGTCCCGAAGCTGGTCCTGAATCTGGGACTACGCCGATGGATGTGGATAAGGAGGAGGTTAAGGAGGCTAAGGTTGAGCAGTCTTAGTGGATGGGTTTTGTTGTATCGTGTTTCTTTTCTTTACTTTTTGGGCTTTGCACAGTCATGACGGGGACTGTGCTGTTCTGTTCTGTTTGTTTTCTTTTATTTGAAGGGGTTTTTTTTATGCATCGGGTTCGGATGCGGTACTGGTTTATTTTCTAGGTTTTTTATTTGTTTTTACTTATGGTCGGCCTTGATTCTACGGTCTCCTGGCGTTCTATGTCTGATATGAATTTCGTCTGAGGAATCTCACGCTGAAAGCATGGTTGAAGTAACTGGCTCCTGTAGTTTTTCGATGCCTCTGCCATCTAGTCTCCGCTATAGTTGTTGTTAGTTAATGTGGTGGGTTGGGACAGCGCAAGGGGAAGAAAGACAATGCTAATGACAATGGAATGGGTGCATTTCTGTATGCTCAGGGGATCTATGGGCTTCGAAGTACAGCTCAGCGTCGCTGTTCGATATTTAGGATGCTTCAATAGTGCCAGTGCTATCCGTGGCTGATAAAAGGTACGGACTACGGATACTTGATTCTATTTGAAAGAAAGAGCTTGCAGAGTAATTCGGCGAAGTAAGGCCATTAGCACTTTGAATTGATTGACACCATCTGTACAGATTTCCAACGCCGTTTTCCCACGAAAGAACCCACGTCAACTCCAATACCAGCGGGGGGAAAGAGCACACTATTGGAAACAAGAATGAGATATGATTATCTGGGTATGGATGTCTTCTGTCATGTACAGGCGAAGACACAACGAGTCTGGAAAGATGATACACATAGCAGGAGGTGATGGCAGCATAGGAAGATTAGACACGGTGGGTGAGTTCGAATCCTATGTTGGACCAATTCCATCGGATGTTTGCCCCTCGCATGCTGCATTATGCGATTGTCGATGTAGAATCGCGAATGGATTGTATGCCAAGGCACATAAGCAATATCCTGGTAATACATAGCATGGGAGACTAGTATTCGCAGCACAATTGATTAGTCGAGATGAGCGTTGATAGTAATGAGTCACTCTAGTCTACTCCAGCGTAGAGATCGACGACAATGTTGATTCCAGCCACGAGAATCTCTGCGGCGATCAAGATAATGACTGATATTTGTTAGATGGGTCGTGGTTAGAAATCATAACTGCAGAGAAACTTACCAATCCATTCGAGATACTCGCCATGGCGATGTGTCAATTGATCCTTTAGGACTGCAAGAAGATCCGCAATAACATCCAACCTTTCCGTCAGAAGACTGACACGCTGATCCATCTCCAGGTAGCTTCGGACTGCCTGGTAAACAGGTTCCAACTGCGGCTCTGCCCAGAAGAGTTCCGGGCTATCGAGGACAGATCCTTGCAAGTGAATATTGATGCGGAGAATGAAGAGCTCTCCAATCTGCATGTTGATTTGCCGACGGGTGAGATTGACGCTACCAGTTTGCGCAATCTGGGCGGGTAGCGGTGCAGTGTCGGTGATTGTTTCTGACACAAGATCTTCGAACAGCGAAGTCTTGACCGATTGGGCCAGAGCATGAGAGATCGCTAGCTTGACCATGTTGTTGCGCGGGTCGCGAAGAGAGATGAAGTCGTTGTAGATTCTAGCCTGGTACTCGCGCGCATAGTAGAAATTGAAGTTCTCAATCTGCGTGTCATCAGGACTCAATATGGAGGTCGCAAATTTGGAGATATCGGACAAGAATCTTGATTCTTGCGCAGGCGTCATTCCCCATATTACGACCGTTCCATAGTCGAAGAGGAATACCTCAGGTATGTGGATTGTGGTGTCAATATCAGGAGTGTCTTTGACGACTACTGATTCGTTATCATTTGAGTGACTGCGCTCGTCGTGCAGATCAATCAAATCCTCCCTTCTGGTCTTCTTATTGTCTTCAACCTCCACCGCACTATCCGAGTATCTTCTTTCACTGGGTCGTCTCTCATGGTGTCCATTGCCATTTTGATCCTGGAATAATCGTGCATTTTGCTTTTCTTCGTACTGGTAATCAAAAGGAGAGTAGACGCATTCATCATACAACTTGGGGTTGGCTCCACGAGTCTTGCTCCGTGACTTAAGGAACTTGATAACGCCCTCGAGTCGATACGAATTGGCCGTGCAGTAAGCTGTCACTCGAGGTATGCGATCGCGGTCAGCTTTACCCAGTCGTGCAGCATGGCTTCGTGCGGCGGGGTCCTTGATCCGAGTGATTTGTGAGTAGACATCCCGAGGGAAATCTCCATCAGACCCCTCTTCCTCTTCCGTTACAGGGTCCGGCAGCAGTTTTAGTTTTTGCGCCTTTTTGGTTGTTCGCTGCGGTCCAATCTTAGATGCTGCATGTGGTGGATTCGATATGGGGTTGAAGGGAGCCCCATGGCTATTGCGACGACGAAGCTTGCTGTTCAATGCTGAGAGCATGGGCTGGCTGCCGGGACGGGGCTGGCCTCCTTGGGCGTTGACATTCTGCACAGGAGGTGAGCCTGTTTGCAAGGGTCGGAATGTAGGATCGGAGGTAGAGGCTGTGCTGCCGTAGGTGCTGATTTGTGTGAGCGGATTGAAGGATACCGACCGCGGCGTCCGGTTTGCACGTGGTGACGTATTCGAGGCCGAGTTCTGATGCTGCGGCAGCAGAGGAGAATTCTCTGCGTCAGGCGCCATGGCAAACGGAATGAAAAGTGTAGAGTTAGACAACAAGCGCCATTGGCGAATGGGATTGGAGGTAGGAAAAAAGTAAAGAGTGAAGGGGAAAAAAAGTTAAGGACTCTGGTAAGCTTCCAAGCTTTCGATGTCCGCCTTAATAATCTGGGAATCGGTCCGGGTCCGGTCCTTGGCGCTATTGTATCATTTCACTTTTGGACTCTCTCCTTTGTATATTTCAAAAATCTCAGAGATTTCTATGTTTGTATCTTCTTTTTGAATGAATTTATTGCCAGACATTATTGGGCATAATTGACTGAATCCTATATACATAACTCCCCCAAAGTTGAATTGCAGACCAGGTTCTACTCCCGCCAAACACCATGCAACCCGAGTAACACTTGGACAAAAATCCTCCTTTCAATAATGACTGATCACAAAATGGCTGCAGTGGATGCGGGGGTGGTTGCATGTCCAGTCGACACCGACTTTCAATTGCGCCAATGGGGCATCGAAAACCCCCGAGAGGAACATCAGACGATGCAAGTGGTCATGTCCCCCGTTGACAACTGGCAGGTTGTAAATGTAACTTCCAGCTATATTTGAAGATATGTGACACTGAACAAAAATCGCTTTTAATGGCCGTACAAAGAGTTCCGTTTCACCGGCGAACGAATCCAGAAGGACCGCCTGCCTTCTGTCGGAGCCCATTGTTTTGGGCTGCGGTACGGGTCTTCTGGAGCATGCTACTCTTGAGGTTCCGTCCGGCCTTGGAAATCTTAGGGGCTAGCGCGGGCTTGGAGGACTTCTTGGAGGACGGCGCATCGAGCACCCGAATAGAGACATCCCCCATGTTGATGTCCTTGGGAAGTTTGTCCTGCTTATCCAAGAATCGCAGCTTATTCGACTTCTTTGGGATGGCGAATTGATCTTCAGCTGGGGGCGTGGGAGGGCGAATGGTGAACTCGGCGTTCAAAATGTCATCAGGAAGCAAAGCAGGAAGAGCGGCTCGTCGTGCATCCTGGGTAGTTGTGCCTTGGAGAGTAGCCGTGCTTTCGGAAAGCATGTCATCAGTCGGGGCCTCCTTGGGCTTAACAATTGATTTGGCTTGCAACTTGCGACGCTCATCGAGTTTCCGTCGCTTCTCTCTCTTCAGTTGCTCTTCTCTACAGCAAGCATTAGTCAAAATTCTTCGCCAAACCTAAGAAATCACACGTACAATTGCTTGGCTGCTTCTTGCTTCTTGGCCTGCTCCTTCATTTTCAATAGCTGGGCAGAGTTATCGATGGTCTCTGGCGCATCATCGTCGCTATCATCTTCATCGTCGTCCTGGGTTGGTGTTTCCGAGATTTCTTCTGGTTGTGTTTCGACTGGTTCGGGTTCTTCGCTACCAAATCGGATCTTCTTTCCTGCAGGTGCTTTATCGCCGATTACGATAGATTTCTCTGCTGGAGTAGGTTTCGTAGCATCTTGATCGGTTCCAGTAGCCTTCGGGTCGCTCCTTCTTCTCCGCTTGGTCTGCTGGTCTTCGGTCTTGCTGGCACCTGCTGAGTGTGCCTTGCGCTTTCCATTCGCAATTTCGGGAGCAACATCTCCTCGTCGGGTAGCTGTCACCATCTTGGAATTGGTGGCAGAGGTGCCTGCGGGTTGGGACTCTTGTTCTTCGGGCTGTCGCGTAAATAGACCCTTGGCGGCAGTGACCAAGTGAGCAAACATAGAGCGAAAGGGAAATCGAGAAATAAAGTAATAAGCCCGAATGGGGGAAACGATTCCTCGTGTTGGTCAAGAGGTGAAGCAAAAATAAAAAATCTCTCGGCGATCAGGATTTCCCGAGAGCGGAGACGATAAGCAACTTTCCGCTATCACTTCACTTTATCTACATCTACTTTACCTTCTCTCGGTGAGCAAGTAGTGTCTATCTTCTTTTTAATTAATTAGGACCTCTTAGTCTAATATTGAAGATGAAATTTATGCTTTGGAATTACTCTCTGGCACCGAATATCTGCGCAGGCAACTAATTTGTCCTACTAGGGCAAAAATATATATAAGCCATCTCACACAAGTATCGAAACCAAATCCCAAGTATATTATGGTATAAGACTCAATTTTTCTGGTATTTCCCGCTCGAATTGAATTGATAGATCCACTGATCCCCTGCTGCAGGGCCAAATAATATATCTGAAATGAAGTATAACCTCTATATACTGATTATACGGCAAGCCTGTTGGGATAAAACCTGTGAAGAAATAGTCCTTCAACTCCGGAGGGAGTAAGGCGAGTCAAAATAAATATGGCAAGTTTGGAAATTGAAAGTTGAAAAAGTTGAAAATCAGTCATATGACATGACCCTTGAATATTGTGCAACCAGATGCAAGTGATACCAC